GAGGCGAATAAAGTTTGTGAAAGATTATGATAAAGGAAGTTGCAGGTTAAAATATCAGATCACGTAGTTCACCTCCAGCTGTATTTTGAAGGACGCAGAGCGGAATAGAGGCTGCTCTGAGAAACAAGCTGCATTAAAAGCACGGAGAGGCTGAAAAACGTCAGAGGCGGAATGTTTAATAGGTAGAAGAGCTGGCTTGGTAATGGCTTCGTGGTCCTAAAAGCAGTTGCCAAGTGGCTTTTCTCACCCACCACGAGGAAAGCTTTTAATGAGTCCAACAAGGTTTTTCTTACTTCAGATAAAAGGTGAGCAAAGAGATGTGAAGGACAAAAGTAAAGGTGACGGCTGGATCACAGTGAACAGTTTAAATTAGAAAGTGAACATTTTTACATGGTTGGAATTTAGGATTTTTTTAGGGTTAAGGTTACACTCTAACCCAACCATCCATCCATTATCATCCACCTTTCTGGGGTCAGGTTGTGGGGACAGCAGCCTAAGCAGAGAGGCCCAGGCTTCCCTCTCCCCAGACACTGAGGCCAGCTTCTCCGGTGGAATCCCAAGGTGTTCCCTGGTCAGCCAAAAGACATAGTCCCTCCAGAGTGCCCTGGGTCTTCCTTCAGGTCTCCTTTTGGTTGGACGTGTCCGGAAAACCTCACCAGGGAGGCATTCAGGATGCATCCTAACCAGAAGGATCCTCTTATCTTGGTGGAGGTTGAAAGTCCAAATGACCCCAGAAGCTATGTTGTCCGAGGTAGTCCCTGGTACGGTCTCCCATGACAGATTAGTTCTCAATAGCTGTGTTTCCATTACTGGACCGCCAGGGTAGTTCCTGGGACAGGGAAATTGGCACTGGCAGGCGTCTCCTGGTCATGGTAAATGGTAAATGGCCTGTATTTGATATAGCGCCTTCTAGAGTTCTTGAAACCCCCCAAGGCGCTTTACAACACAATCAGTCATTCACCCATTCACACACACATTCACACACTGGTGGGGATGAGCTACGATGTAGCCACAGCTGCCCTGGGGCGCACTGACAGAGGCGAGGCTGCCGAGCACTGGCGCCACCGGTCCCTCCGACCACCACCAGCAGGCAAGGTGGGTTAAGTGTCTTGCCCAAGGACACAACGACAAGGACACAACAACAGCGACAGACTGAGCGGGGCTCGAACCCGCAACCTTCCGATTACGGGGCGAGCACTTAACTCCTGTGCCACCGTCGCCCCATCGTCATCCTTAAAGTCAGGACACACATTTACGCCGAGGCGTCCTTCCAGTATTACGGCCCTCGCCTCTGGAACGAGCTGCCAGAGGACCTCAGGGCCGCAGAGAATGTTCATGTTTTTAAGTCCAGGCTCAAGACCCACCTATTTAGGTTAGCTTTCATCTAATTATTTACTTCAGTTTTATTTCTCGTTTTACATGGTCATGTTTTATTGTTTGCTTTGCATGTTTTATAATTATATTTTGGCACAGTTTTATTATTTAATATTATAATTTTAAGATAAAACGATGTTTCTGTACAATTTTCAACCCAATAAAAAGCTAAAATGTCCAACAAAGGACCAACTTTCTTTCTTTCATTTTAACCGGTCACCACAGTACAAACAATATTCATGACCAGCAAAATACAGTTTAAAAGGCAAGTAAGTTGAACTCGATGCACTTTATTTTCCAAGACCGCTGAATTTGTACTAAAGGTTTTACACGTTTTAAACATTTCCAACATTTATTGTCATCGAGACTTTCTGTAGTGAGATCAATGGAACAAAGAAGGCTTTACCCATCTTAATGTAAGGTAATCCATTCTCTAGAAGGTGCTATTGAACAGCCCTCACAGATGATCCTGTCTCCTTTAATAAAAGTCTGATTCAGAAAGGCTGCAGCATGTGAAAACCTTCCTCCTGACCTTTCAGATTTCAGAGTTAGTCGGTCATCATTAGCAGACACGATGAGGCAGCGTGCCAGACGGCGGACACACTAATCATTCCCCTTTATCCCTGAATGCTCACTACTTACCAGTGTCCATGCCCATGGAGGAGGGGGGGGGGGGGGGGGGGGGGGTCGCAGAATCACGTGGAGATCAAACTAGAGCTGAACAGCAGGAGGAGTTTGTTGAGGTGGAGGACAGTGTTTCTCCCTACCTCGACCTTTAACCTTCAGGATGCAAATCAGATGGATGCAATAAAAGGCATCCATCAAGTTGTTTGTGTCGCTCTTTGAGGGACGTCCGTGAGAGGTTTAATCTTCGTAAGTAACTTGCTATGTTTCATATTTTATAAGAGTAATAAATAACCACTCGGTGCACTTTGTTGTGATCAAGACTTGAAGACGGGGGCGTGTGGGCTTGCAGATTCAGAAAACAAGACGAGAAAAGATATTTAAACACATCCAGAGGAGGTCAGCTTCAAGACTCAGCCGTTTCATTGCCCACACACACGCACCCACATGCTGAACATCATTACAAACAAAAGGGCACGACTGAAACAATACAGCAATCTGATGCAACACGCAGAGACGGATGTGTTATTCTAAGACTGCACTTTAAAAAGAAAGAGCCTTTCACATCCACCTATCTGTCTCTGATGGTGTATTCTTGTATTATCTATTTCTTATTCATAAAAAGAAACTATATCAGGCCTTTCTCTGCCGTTTTAAAACATATTTGTGTGTAATGTGGACATGCCTTAGAAAGGCCTTAATTCAGAGAACTGCAGTTTATGTCCGACAGGAGCGAGGAGCTAACGGCTAGTCTGAAAAGTGTTCTCGGCTAGCCAAGAACACTTTTATTTGCTGCCCTCTTAAAATGGTTCTAATTACCAAAAAATTAAAGTGACACTAGGCAGATTTGTATGCTTTAACCAGTTTCTTAAAAAGGGGTTCAGAAATGATTGTGTCGGACTCAACTAACTTCACATGGGACAGCACTCTGCTGACCGGAAACAGCACTTAAAGGCATACTATGCAACTTTTTCATATTTTAAAATTATTTTTTGAGTCAATATGTGCTATAAATGACCCTTTACATGTGAAGTTTTAATTTAGTTGTTTTACACTTTTACATCAGTAGGCGCCCAACCTGACCCACTTTTAGTGTTTAGCGTGAATTGGGCGGTGGCCTGGGATGGTTTCAAAATTTCTGGCCTGAATTAATGTCCGGCAAGATCCGGCTCAAATTAAGCCCTGGTTGGCACCCTAGCAGAGCCTGTGAGCAAAAGTCAGAGAGTAATGTCTTTGGAGGCAAAGCAAAGAGCTAAAGCCAGAGTGAAAATCGGGATGGCCTACGCACATTTAAAGAAGCTGAACGAGGCTATGAAACCACGGATTGATGGTGACCTGGCTTTGTTGTTACTGGACTTGTAATATTTTTCATTCTTTTTAGTATCTTTTTAATTCACACCTTACTCAGCAGGACTTAGCTCATGCTAGTGTCAGCACGCTGCTGCAGGGTCGTTCATGACAGTTTTAATTTCACTTTTCACCAGGAGGGAGAAGCTGGTTGCTTCAAAGCAATTCATGTGAACTTTTGGCCTATTTTAACAAAGATAAATAAATAAATAAATAAATAAATAAATAAATAAATAAATATTTGGACTTAACCCACAAATTCACATTCATTAGTTTATTTTTTTATTAGATCCAAGAACCTTTGCTGTTAGATCATTTTAATTTATCATTGTGATTCTGCACTAAGCTTATCGCCGGGTAAAGATTCCACTTTTTGATGCTTCAGGCTCTCCGGGCCATCACAGATCACCTCCTCCCAAAAGAGTGCATAATCACGATGCGTGCTGATCCATTTTTGCAGATACTCTATCTTCCTGTCACACTTCCAGGGGTTCCCAGTCAGGATTATCTCCAAAGAGGGATTCAACCCATTCAGCAGGCCTGCTGGGAGGTGATGCAGCTGGTTTTTATTGAGCAACAGGAGCTCAAGGTGTCTGAGGCCGTGCAGGAGGTTCGCCGGTAAATCCTGGAGCTGATTTTCCTGCAGGTAAAGGCGTTTCAGATCATGGTTGTGAGCAAAGGTTTGGGGTTTCAGGGTGATTAGTTTGTTTCCAGCGAGGTCTAGCGTCTCTAGTTGGTGCAGGCCCCTAAAGGTGTCCGCTTGTAACTCCTGCAGATTGTTATCATTCAAATCTAGATACTGCAGATGAGGCAGCTTCTGAAACAGCGCGGGCGAGATGCTGCCTAAACGGTTCCCAGACAAGTCCAGCCAGGTCACACTGCTGTTATCAGAAAACCACGCTGCATCAGCTTTTTCAAACCGATTATCTCTCATCACCAGGTAACGAAGCGAGCTGTGGCTGAAGACGTTGGGAGGTAGATGAACCAGCCGGTTCCCAGTGAGATCCAGTTTGTTCAGGCGAGGCACGGCGACCAGTAGATCTGATGAAAGGTTCACCAGACTGGTGTGGTACAACTGGAGGTGATCCAAGAGGGGGATGGCACTCAAACGACTGGCTGTGATGCCATCCAGGTTTGTGTTCTGAATGGACAACACTGTGGCGTTGGATGGAAAACCACTCGCGGGAAAACTGGTGAGGCCTCCGCGGCTGCACACCACTTCCGCACCTGAGGTCAGAAACAAACAGGAGCAAAACTCTGGACACGAGAGGACACTTCTTCGTTTGTGATCAAATTCAGCCAGGGCCATGAAAGTGAGCATTAGCAGCAGCTTCATCTTGGCTGCAAAAAACCAAAATAAATAACAAACAGTACAAATGACTCATAAATAATAACACTTAATAGCAGGAATGGTGCACAAATGTATTCCTACCTGAGAAGTCACTGACAGCCGGTGAAGAGTCACTTGTTTGTGACGAGAGTGCCGAGTGAATTCCAGTCAGCTGAAATGTTGCAAAAAGCAAATAAAACTGAGCAAATAAAGCAGCTCTGTTGCTGGAGAGTGGTTACCACCACGCAGATCAATAACATTAGACAGAGTTTATGATTAATGAGCTGTGCACGGTCTTTTAGTGTTAAAATAAACCATAAACAGACCAGGGAATGTGTTTTTATTCAAATAAAAATAATAAAAGTCAGTTTTTAATCAATCTTTAACAACTCCATATTGACTGCCAAATACAATAATAATACTTTAAAATCATGGTTTGTGAGATAATTACAAAGCTGTAAATTGCAGAAATTTGCAATAATTCCAATGAAGGTAAAAATCAAACTTATGTCCATGACATCATTATAGATCTTTATTATTTTATTGCAAAAATGTTTACAGACATCTTCAGATGTTTGGGTTCAGTTTAACTCAGCTCGACTAAAGATTGAGTTGGTTTTCCGTTAGCGACGACACTGATCTCCCCATCAGAGGCTGGGGAAACGCACACGTGATGCTTTCTGCCTCAAACACCTTCTTCTTGTTCTTCTGAAGCCACCTCCACAGGTACTCCACCTTCCCATCACACAGGAGGGGGTTGCCGCTCATGTCCAGACCCTGGTCCTCCAGTGAGTCCAGCTGGTCCAGTAAACCTGCGGGGATGTGGCTCAGCTGGTTGTTATCTAGACTCAGGTGTCTGACCCGTCTGAGACCCTGAAACAGGGTTTGAGGGAGATTTTTGAGATGATTGTGAGCGAGAAATAAAGACGTGAGGTTGTTTAGGCTCAGGAATGCAGACGCATCCAAAGTGTGCAGTTTGTTGTTCTGCAGGTTTAGCTGCTTGAGCTCCATCAGAAGATCCAGAGAATGAGAAGGTATCTTCTCCAGATGGTTGCTGGAAAGGTCAAGATTCTCCAAGTGAGGCAGCCTCTGAAGCAAAAGTGTTGGAGTTTGTCTTAAAAGGTTTTCAGACAAGTCCAACCAGATCAGACTGCTGTTAGCAGGAAGCCACTCTGCATCTGCTTCTTTGATCAGGTTGTTCTTTAGGACCAAGTTACGGAGAGAAGCGTGGCTAAAGATGTCTGCAGGGATGTCGCTCAGCTGGTTTCCCGTCAGGTCCAAAGTGTGCAGGTGGGGAACGCCCCTGAGAAGATGAGAGGAGAGGTTCTGCAACTGGTTTCTAAAGAGATGGAGCTCCTGCAGCAGTGGCGTGGCGTTGAGCTGGTGCTCAGAGAGGGAGGTGATGTTTGTGAACTGGATGGTCAGCATGGTGGTTTTGTCTGGGAGACCCTCGGATGGGAACTCTGCGAGGGGAACCTCGTTACAGACTACCTCTGCTCTGCTGGGGAAACATTTACATAAAGCAGGGCAGGGAAGTGTCTCATGGCTGAAGTGTCCCAACAGGAGAAAAACAAAAACGCAGCTGGACTTCATCTCTAAAATAAAAACAGGATTACAGAATGAAATGGCTTCAGAAAAGTAGCAGAAAGTCACTTCTCACAAAGGAAATCAGAGAAAGTAGATTTTCAGTAAGGAAGAACGACTTACTGCTGTTATCCCGTTCAGCCTGCCTGTCCCGTGTGTCTGATTCACTGATGGTTACTTGCAAATTGATGTCATTTAAAGAGGAAAATCCTCCAATCTAATCATTACTTACTGAGTAAACAATGATCAGGCGTTTGTCAAGGACATGCAGTTGCAACAGACTACAACATGCAGGGAAAGTACAAAACTTCAAATCAACATAAATAAACATAGCAGTGCTGATTTAAAATATTATCATTGTGTGTCTGAGAGTAAATTTCATTTATGTTCCCAGTGGAAATCATGTTACTGAACTATATCATAGAAAATGGATCAAAAATGTAAAAAATCTCAAATTTGAACCATTACTTGTAAATAATTTCCACAATGTCTTTGCCTCCAAGGAATGGAGATGCATTTATTTAAAATGTATATTTAAAGAATTCATAATGAGGGCAATGTCCCATCCGGAGGTGGCTGCATGCTACCTGAGATACCCGAGATACGAGTACAGCAGGTTTGATTCATCAGTAATCGAACCAGAGTAGTTACGCAGAACGGATAATGACCTCCATTGTTGAGTTTAGCATCCGCGCATCAAGGTAAACCGTTACATTATGTATAATAAGAGCCAGTTGGCTTCAGGGTATTCTGAAAGATTTATTTCAGGCAAGCCCACTCACTCCTCATGCAGTTGTGGGAGATGAATGTTTTGGTAGATTTCAGTCCCATTTGAAATACACAGCAGCCAGATTAATGAGAAGAATGATAATTACTGACTGTAACTACAATGAGTATCCATTAATATGACCTGGTCTTATTAATAAAAACCAAAAAGTAAAACTTAAGATTAGATTTTTCAGTCCAGAAACTGAAAAACTCAAACTTGTCAGATCATTACTGAATTAACATTTCAAAATATGCCAGACAAAACCCTAAATTTTGTCAAAATCCTGTTTGCTGGGCGTCAACACAAAATGGAAATTAAGCACTTGAGTAGTTTGTGAGTTTGTAATATTATTTACACTCACTTAATAATTGTGATTATTGGTCTTGTTGTACAATTTCAAAACATCCCGGACAAGACCCCAGCCTGTTACAATCCAGTTCATTGGGCTGCAACACAAAATGGAAAGTAGGCATTTGGGGAGTAGTTTGCAAGTTTGTAGTATTATTACATTTCCTTACAATTGTCATTAATAAGCTTATATTACAATTTTAAAACATCCCAGACAAGACCCTAAATTATGTTAAAACCTATAGCTTGCTGGGCATGAAGATAAAAAGGATGCAGAGTATTACTTTTATCCACTCTAAAATGTTTTGAAAATAATTCTCACTATTGTTATTGTAACAATACGACTACTTATTCAAAACATCCCGGACAAGCCTCCAATTTAGGTTATGACCAGACTTTTGGGCAGTAACTATGGATGTCCAATATTTTTGGTCTACCGTTAATGTCGGCCAATATCAATGTTAAAATGTAATATAAAAATATCAGTATTGCTTTGTCTTAATCACAGCTTTTACATACCATACACGTTATACACAAACCTCTTCAGCTATTTATCTCTCTCAAAATGTCAAAATATGATGGATTTGAGGTATGTTTGAGATATTTTAGTTCATTTGGCACAACTTGTGAAGTAGAAATTTGCCTGATGTAGTGATCCGTATACTGTCGTCCAGCACGTAGCTAACAAAGCTAACAAAGGACTTAAACAAAAACAAGAATCTTCACCCAAGGCTAACAAAGTTGCTCGGCACTTTTCCTGGTACTAACATTTACATAATTTAACCATCCATGATAGGAGCTATGGGGGGTTAGTAACCTAAAATATTTTAGTTGTTTTTGTATCGGTTCCAATCCAATCCAATCCAATTTTATTTATAAAGCACATTCACAAGGCATCACAACCAAACAAGGCGCTGTACACTAAAAATCTTAGTTAATTAAACCGGCGTTATACAAACATGTCGAACACAGATAAAAGATAAAAAGGAAATTCAACAAAATTCCCAAAACTAACAGCTAAAAATCAATAAGACACAGGGAGAATAAAAAATTAGAAAAACATTTTAAAAAGAACCTCAATAGTACGGAAGTTGATATTGTGAAGTCCATTTTTAAACAATGCAGATGTGAGGTTCATAATTATGTGGTATAAGCTAGGTTGAAGTAGTGAGTTTTCAAGCGTGATTTAAAAATGCTAGCTGTTGGTGCTTGCCTCACTAGCAGTGGTAATGAGTTTCACAGCTTCGGTGCACAGACAGAGAAAGCCCTTTCTCCACGGTTCATATCGGTATTACCGTACTCTTATATCGGAGAATGAGTCAGACAATATCGGTATATGGGTAAAAAAAGCAAAGCATCCCTGTCAGTAACAGATTCACCAAGCAGACTTTGCACTCACAAGTGTTAACGCAATCAAGGTGATACAAACTGTCACTATTGTTGCTTAGCAGTCAGCGGCAGAGGGGGACGACATCATTCATTACTGGAATACGTCTTTTGGCTTGGAAATGATTAGAAACACTCATTAAACACATTTCCCCACAAATCTTTTAATGCTTTTCTTAAAATATTTCAAATATAGGATTTTAAACATAACAGAAACATCTATAACTTTTTTCTTGCAGATTGTTCAACAGAAATACATTTCACATTATTCTGTAATGCTGTGATGGCTATAATTAGAAACAGGTCTAAGATGCCTTATGATGAATAAAATCTCTCATTCAAACACACATTTACAAATCGCTCATTTACTGTTGAATGTGTCGCTATTATATCCAGAAAAATAAAACAATCCTGTCCTATTATCTATAATTTGTGTTATAAATCTTTGTTCTATATACAAAGGCTCACACACATGCCTGAAACTTCAAAAACACAACTAAATTGAGTCCAATTGTTAATTAAAAAAAAGGGCAGTTTCAATATGAAGAGTGAGAAACTTTCTGTTTATTAAAATGCACAAAAACAATTCCAGTTCTCATGACAACAGCCAGAGCGTTTCTGTCCATGGTGTTTCTTTCTTTCGTTTTTCAGTCTGTGAACAAACATCATGCGTAGGCAACAGGGTCCAGACGAGCATCATTAATCCAAATGGGTGAAAATACTGCTGGGGTTAACTGTGAAGAGAGAGAGGGAAATAAACGGAAATTATGTGAAAACCTGGGATACGACCAACAGAGTGGCAAGAATTCAAAGGCAAGCCCACACAAAATCCACACATTAAACTGGGAAGCTTCTCTGCATCCACACAAAGCACGACTAAAAATGCAGAAAGAGAGATACACCAACATGCCAGGTCTGCAAGATGTTTAATACTTTCGTATTTTACCGGCAGTAGGTGTTTGCAGCTCAAATAGAAAACTATAAAATGCACCAACCTCCCACACTTGCAAAAAATACACCCTCAAAGTTAACTATAATTTCCAAGCACTGAATTACAATTTAGCACACAACAGATGCACACAGAGATCATGCTGAGGCAAAGTTACCCTCCTGCTTTCAGAAGAACATATCATCATTATCATCATCATCATCCTCATCCAATGACCAGCTCCAGTCTTTCAGGTCAAACTCAAGCACCCTGAAATAACGAGGTCCAAGCAAATGCCACGGTCACTAGGGGGCAGTATGGAGCAGACCCTGGCTCATACAGGCAGCTTGTTACATGAGAGGGTTAGTAAACAGCAGCACAGCAATGCAGCAGGCAGAAGGGGGTGCCAAGCTTCACTACTTACATTCTCCAAGCATGGGAGGTTTTGTTTAGAAATGTGGGGGTCAAAGGTGAAGAGGTCAGTGGAGGATGATACGGAGCATGGGGCCAGTGCTGGAGGATGAAAGCCAGTTAGGGTGTGGCTGAGACTACCGAGTGTTGAACAGTTAGTTTCTTGTCTGTGAGGTTTTCGAAAGGTGAGTTTGGAGCTGCAAATGGCGTTTTGCATATGCAAATGAACCAGGAAGGCTGCTTAAAGCAGGACATTCTGTTCTAGCTTCAACTTCACGCCCATTTTAATGGTGCAGGGACAGGAAAATTAAATGTAACTGCAGCAGAATGTGGATTTTAAAAGCTTCAGAAAACATTCAAGAAACATTAGTGCAGGTAAAAGATTAGTCAACAACTGAAAATTAAAGGAAAAAGGAAAAAAAATGCTAAAAGACTGATAGGGAATATTTCTTAATCAAAATAAATAAAATTCCCACCTCGACTTTCCTGATGTCTGCTGAGTTTTGGTGGCCTGGATCTTTATGGCGTTGCGATGCGATGACAGCTGAGGGGAGTTTCTGGGAGAAGACCTCGGAGAGACTTTAGGAGGAAACATTGATGCAAACTCTTGAGGGCTTGACTGTGCTGCAGGAGGACTCAAAGTTGGGTTTTTCCTCGGGATGCGTTTGCGGAGGTGACTGATCCATCGCTGCTGCTCCTCCTTAGAGTTGGTCAGCAGCAGCAACTCTTTGGCAGTGGATGAGTCGTAGCTCACTGAGAAAGAAGGCAAGTGGATTTTCATCAGGATAAACAAGATGTTTTCTAAATTTAATTGGTAAAACCTTAATTTTAACGTAAAACTACCCCAGCAGGGCTCGATGCTCTCTTTATTCTTTTCCATGTGGTCTTTGTGGCACTTGGTGTGGCAGCGGCGGCACTCAAGAGCAGGCGGGGGCTTAAAGACGTTCCACAGGGGTCGCGTGCAGACGTCGCAGTTAGAGGGAAAGTGGTACAGGGTGAGGATGAACTCATGGCCCTTGTGGCTGATGTAATTAGGGCGCTCATGGGTGGCTGGCTCCACCGCAACCTCCTCGTTGCGTTTACTCTCGCCTTCGTTGGCGTACAAGATCTGATTCAGGAGATGGAGGGAGTTTTAGTCGCAGCAGTGTTGTTACTGAATGTATATGGAAAATTAGGGAAACTGTAGATGATTACCTGGAATATTCTTGGGATTTCTCTGGCATCTGCACGGTACACATCAGTTTGAGTGACGGGACGAACGTGAAACAGCTTACTGAAATAAGTCGAAAAATTAGGACAATAAAGAGGACTATGCATATGGAATACAGAAAAACACCAGTTTTAGTCCTTAAACAAGAATTTTAAGCTTCAAGCCTGCCTCCAAAAATAAAATATTTCAAAAATATAATTAAATATCCAAAAATGGAGATCACAGTTTTCATTAACTCAAAATTGCACAGTTTTAAATTCTTCTTCTTCTACTCTTTTATAATGATATTTTAAAGGCTGCTCAGATTAGGGTCCATTATTTTCTGCAATAAAGAAATCATTCTCCTGTAGCAGAAATCAATAAAAGCCATCAGTTTGTTGCTGCGTCTGTAAATAAAAACAAACCTTAAAGTCAGGAACTTATCCACAACTTGCATTCATAACTTTATAAATGAGAATGAGTTTTTTTCAAATTATATTTGAGGTACATTTTTTAAATCATAAAAAGTTCCCATTAAATTCCCTAAAGGGGGCGGGGCTTAAAACTTAAACTGCAGCCAGCCACTAACAGGCATCCTCTTTGGTACAGTTTCAGCTCTAATTTCCTGTGCATCTTAGCTGGTGCCAAACTGGATGACCTGCAGCTAAAATCCTCCATTAAGCTAAAAAAACCACCTTGATCTAAGTTATTGTTAAGTTAGAAACTAACGGTTTCATATTTGACACCGCTATGTAGCCTTTTAATGAAGAAAAACCACACTTGATAGTTTTGTGGAGCGGGTTAAGTGTTCTATAGGGAGCGCTCTTCACCTGTGTAATGGCTGTTAGCTGTAATGCTAGCAGTTAGCATTTTCACTTTGCCGATCGTCAATAAAAAACACAAGAAGAAGAAAAAAGAAATTTGCTTGTTCTGTTGGCATCATGCCGGAGCCTGGAGGTAAAAGTAGGAAAGTAATGTCTTTGGAGGTGAAGCAAAGAGCTAAAACCAAAGTGAACATCAGCGTGGCCTACACCCATTTGAGGGAGCTAAAAGAGGCTACAAAAATCATGGACTGATGGTGACCTGGCTTTGTTGCTTGTAATTAAAAAAGATGTTTTGTCAAACAGTGTGGATCCTTGTACTTCACTTGAAATGAACTCTGGACCTTGTATCTGCTCATTGTAATTGGGATAATGAGGGAATAACACACAACTGGCCATGGAACAGCTGAGAAGCCAATTGTCCCATTACTTTTGGTCCCTTAACAAGTGGGAGGCACATGTATAAACTGTTGTAATTCCTACACCGTTCACCTGATTTGGATGTAAATACCCTCAAAGAAAAGCTGACAGTCTGCAGTTAAAGCACATCTTGTTCGTTTCATTTGATATCCATTGTGGTGGTGTATAGAGCCAAAAATGTTAGCATTGTGTCGATGTCCCAATATTTATGGACCTGACTGTACGTTTGTGTGCAGCAGGGTTGTTCAGGACAGTTGGAATTCCACTTTCAACCAGTAGGATGGATGAACAGCAAACTGTCTAGTGTTACTTTAAAGCTACGACAAGAGTAAACATGACATTTAAAGGTTTTCTTCAAAACCTCATCATGTCTCATTCAGTTGTCATAGTTTCACATTTTCTATTGATGGGAAACAATATGAAGGAAAGTCATGGATCCTAGAGGAATTTCAGTAACGTTATTTTACATGTGGCAATTGCATCTTTGTGTTTTTTCTAAAAAAAATGAAATAAAATCTGGCACACTTGATTTCCTCGTGAGAAATTGGTAAAAAAGACTCACTCTATGTCCAGGGTCATGAACGGGTTGGACTGCTCGCGGTCCTGCTCGTTGTTGTAAAACAGTATCTTCTTGCTGCTTACAACGACGTACTGAGAAGGAAATGGAAACAGATCAAAACAGTTAAGGGGAAAAGATGCGATTCAGTTGCTGCTCACTAAGAAAACAAGAGATGCATGAAAAAGTGGCAGTAGTTACTTTTTTGTCCCAGCCGTATCGCTTTGTGTTCTTGGTGGGAAATGAAATCCAGCCTTCCAGTCTGGAATCTGGTGAGCATAAAGACAAAACAAAATGGGAAAATGTCAACACAAAAGGAAGGACACCCTTTAATCATGCAATTCACTTAAAACACCATCTTGACATTTTCTGAGCGTTCCTGGCATTTACTCCGAGTTGCCACTTTGAGAGGAAACGATTCCTGGCTAAAACAAAGAAGCCGAATGCGGGAAATCCTGCTTCCGGGCTTTAAGAGAAAGCAGCAGCTCACATAGAAGATGCAACATTCAAGGATTAAAGGAAATCACAAATCTGAATATCCATATGGCTATCTATCCGATTTCTGTGGTAAATTTGAGCAAAATCATGCAGTAAATGTCAACATGCCCAGTTAACATCAAAACAGATGAAAGCACAACAGAGACAGCATGCATGCCTGCAGGGCTGGAAAAAGATCACTTTCCTAATTCAGTAAAATTGCAAAAAAAAACCATCTTCAAACATTATGGTGTAAATATTTTAAATGTTTGCATTCCAATTTCAGATTTCAAGCACCGTGCCGGGTCACCTCCAGGTTCAGGCTCAGAGGGCTGTCTATAGGTCAGAGCCAGTGGGCTTTGGCCCCGCCCCTCAACCTCATCTGGGTCTCCTTCATCTTCGGAGTCCGAGTCAAAGAGGGTTCGAGCCGAGCCAAGGTCGGGCCTTGTGTCAATGCACACTGACTTGTGTGTGCGCTGGTAGGTGTAGGACATTGATTCTGAGGTGTGAGACTGAGTGATGCGCACTACGCAGGACCACGACGAGAGGTGAAATGGAAGAGAGGACGTGAAGAAACAGAAAGAAAGGAGGAACAGGTGGAAATAAATGTGAAAAAGAAGGAGAACAGGAAATGCATGCAGATGTGAAGCTGAGCTTGTATCGTTTTTGTGTAGAAGCCTGAAAGGAAGAAGGATCAAGAGCAGACCTGGGTATCCGTCGCCTAATTCCACATCGTTGCCGCTGCCGATGCTGGTGGTGTCCAGAGAGTGAACGCTGAGGGAAGTGAGCTGACACCGGAGCTGCTCGATGTCGCTGTCCTTGCTGTCCAGGGCCATCTGGAGCTCCAGGCGCATGTTGTTCTCCTCTGCCATTACCTAAAAACACAAACATTTCACTGCACTTTATTGTCAATCACTGCACTCTTTGGTTTTCAGAAGCAGGCAATAATGTTTTTGCCTGCGTATTTGTGTGTTCATGCCCCGGCGCTGTGACTAATTTACAGAAGGTAGGGAAAGTATTCAGACCCTGGTCAATTTTTCACTGTTATTATGCAGCCATTTGCTAAAATACAGCCATGAGTCTCCGTGGTGAAATTTCTTACACCTGGATTTGGGGATCCTCTGCCATTCCTCCTAGCAGATCCTCTCCAGTTCTGTTGTCTGGTAAATGTTGGTGGACAGCCATTTTTAGGTCACTTCAGAGATGCTCAGTTGGTTTTAAGTAAGGGCTCTGGGCCATTCAAGAACAGTCAGAGAAGCCGTAAAGCCACTTCATTATTTTGGCCGTGTGCTTTGGGTCATTGTTATGTTGGAAGGTAAACCTTCCGCCCAGTTTGAGGTCCTGAGCTCTCTGGAGAAGGTCCAGGATATCCCTGTACTTCGTTCCTTCGATTGCAACCAGTTGTCCTGTCCTGGCAGCTGAAAAACACCCCCACAGCATGATGCTGCTACCACCATGCTTCACTGTGGGGACTGTATTGGACAAGTGATGAGCAGTGCCTGATTTTCTCCACACATACTGATTAGAATTAAGGCCAAAACGTTCTCTCTTGGTCTCATCAGACCAGAGAATCTCATTTCTCACCATCTCAGGGTCCTTCAGGTGTATTGTAGCATGCAGGCTTTCATGTGTCTTGCATTGAGGAGAGGCTTCTGACTAACCACTCTGCCATAAAGCCCTTATTGGTGGATGGTTGCAACTTTATCCCATTTCCTGACGCCATCTCTGGAGCTCAGCCACATTGATCTGCTCTAGGAAGGGTTCTGGTTGTCCCAAACTTCCTCCATTTAAGGATTATAGAGTCCACTGTGTTCTTAGGAACCTGAAGTGCAGCACAGACTTTTTTGTAACCTTGGCCAGATCTGTCCCTTGTCAGATTTGTCTCTGCGCTCTTCAGGCAGTTTCTTTGACCTCATGATTCTCCTTTGCTCTGACATGCACTGTGAGCTGTAAGGTCTTCTATAGACAGGTGTGTGGGTTTCCTAATCAAGTCCAGTCAGTATAATCAAAGACAGCTGGACTCCAATGAAGGTGTAGGACCGTCTCAAGGATGATCAGAAGAAATGGAAAGCACCCGAGTTAAATATGAGTGTCACAGCAAAGGGTATAAAAAATGAATTGAATTGATTTTAGCAAATTGCTAAAATATAACAGAGTAAAAGACAGACGGGGGTCTGAATACTTTCCATACCCACTGCAAGCTATGAATTTGAGTACTTTATTAAACGTTTAAAACCTTGAAAATGACACATTAAAAGTTTACAAAAAATCCCCTGAAGTTAGCTTTTGGAGTCAAGATGGCCACCACTGAAAACCGACAAAAACTATTGGGCTAGGTTCTGTTGGAGGTTTCTTCCTGTTAAAAGGGCATTTTCCTCTCCACTGTCGCTACATGCTTGCTTAGTATGAAGATTGCTGCAAAGTCTGCTGGTTTTCCTTAGATAGGAAACTTTTATGTATTTGGAATAATGAACTGAACTCCGTGCATTGATAAGTAGGTTCAATTGGAATGTTCGCTTTCTAAAGTGCCTTGAGACAACTCTTGTTGTGATTTGGCCCAACATAGATGAACTGAATTGAATTTCTCATTCACACACAAAGAGATAATACAATTAAGACTAGTACTTTTCATAATCCTTAGCTATGAAGAGAGGGTATTTCCGTGTTTGCAGCCAGACAAAGTAAGTGCAGCCCTCTCCATTGTGTCAAAACAGCAGATGTTTTCTGGTAGCAAGTATATTTTCAGTGTATATTTTTGGAGTCGTGGGTGAACTGACCGCCTGCATGTCAGTCAGATCCTTCTGGTATTTCATCATGGTGCTGTTAAATTTTTGCCTCTCTGCTTTCAGCTCCAGCTGCAGCTTCCTGTTCTCCTTCTCTTTCCTGTGCACCTCGGTGTCGATACCTCGAGCACCTCCTCGCACCGACTCCCTCCTGTTCATCACCTCAGCCAGCTTGTTCACAGCCTGGGAGGCAAAAAACATGGAGTAAATAAACAAAGCTTCCTTTATGGTAAATATAAATGCGGTAAACACACAAGAAAGAATGGTGAAATCAATGCTGCAGCATGAAACCTTTATATGTTTCTAGATGTTTAATAAAAGTCTGTGGCAGAACATTATGTATGAGGAAGTTAAGGATAGATGTTTCAGGATTTCCAGACCTGAATCTTAAGCGTCCTTTCACTTTGCAGCTGCCTCTCAAAGGAAACTTTCAAAGAATTCATCTGCCTCGCTTCCTCCCTGGCCTTCTGGAATTCTGCAAAATCATCACATATAAATATTAATATAACAGCAGTAAACATGTTTTCAATTCAATAACTGTTTCCTTGAAGCAATGTAAAATTTATGAGGCAAACTTGAGTATTTCTCTGACATCAATCTCTTTTTTCATGATTCTTTTTCTTCAATTAAATCAAGACGGCTTTTTAGCACATTTTCAAGAGATTAGATCAACTGTAATTTTTTTTGGAATTACCTTTTCCCTCTGGTGCTCAAGTCATTGTGAGACTCACCTTGCTGCAGTTCTTTCAGCTTGTTGTTCAGTTCTTCCTTCTCACTGGCCAGGTTGGCCACGTCCACTGTCAGTGTGCGGTTGGATTCTTCCAGCTGAGTTAGACGAGCAGATTTCAGTCGTGGAACCAACCAACTAGCCCAACACACCAGCTAACCTAACATACCAATTAACCAACACACCAACCAGCCCATCCAACCTAACATACCAACCAACACACCAGCCAGCCCAACCAACCTAACATACCAACCAACACACCAACCACCCAACATACCAACTAACTTAACATACCAATTAACCTACCAACCAACACACAAACCAACCAACCTACCAACTAACTTAACATACCAATTAACCAACCAACCCAACATACCAACCAACCAACTAGCCCAACACACCAGCTAACCTAACATACCAATTAACCAACACACCAACCAGCCCAACCAACCTAACATACCAACCAACACACCAACCACCCAACATACCAACTAACTTAACATACCAATTAACCTACCAACCAACACACAAACCAACCAACCTACCAACTAACTTAACATACCAATTAACCAACCAACCCAACATACCAACCAACCAACCCAACACACCAACCAACTTAACATACCAACCAACACACCAACCAACCAACTTAACATACCAACCAACACACCAACCAACCTAACATACCAATTAACCAACCAAAACACCAACCAACCAACTTAACATATCAACCAACACACCAACCAACCTAACATACCAGTCAACCAACCAACAGACTAACCAGCCCATATACAGGTCCTTCTAAAAAATTAGCATATTGTGATAAAGTTCATTATTGTCTGTAATGCACTGATAAACATTAGACTTTCATATATATTAGATTCATTACACACAACTGAAGTAGTTCAAGCCTTTTATTGTTTCTAATATTGATGATTTTGGCAAACAGCTCATGAAAACCCAAAATTCCTATCTCAAAAAATTAGCATATAATGAAAAGGTTCTCTAAACGAGCTATTAACCTAATCATCTGAAACAACTAATTAACTCTAAACACCTGCAAAAGATTCCTGAGGCTTTTAAAAACTCCCAGGAGAAGAGGGTAAGAGACAGAAAGACATTTCTGAATGAACAGGTTGTTCCCAGAGTGCTGTATCAAGGCACCTCATTGGGAAGTCTGTGGGAAGGAAAAAGTGGCAGAAAACGCTGCACAACGAGAAGTGACCGAACCCTGAGGAAGATTGTGGAGAAGCACCGATTCCAGACCTTTGGGGACCTGCGGAAGCAGTGGACTGAGTTTGGAGTAGAAACATCCAGAGCCACCGTGTACAGGCGTGTGCAGGAAATGGGCTACAGGTGCCGCATTCCCCAGGTCAAGCCACTTTTGAACCAGAAACAGCGGCAGAAGCGCCTGACCTGGGCTACAGAGAAGCAGCACTGGACTGTTGCTCAGTGGTCCAAAGTACTTTTTTCGGATGAAAGCAAATTTTGCATGTCATTCGGAAATCAAGGCACCAGAGTCTGGAGGAAGACTGGGCAAAGGGAAATGCCAAAATGTCTGAAGTCCAGTGTCAAGTACCCACAGTCAGTGATGGTCTGGGGTGCCATGTCAGCTGCTGGTGTTGGTCCACTGTTTTTTATCAAGGGCAGGGTCAATGCAGCTAGCTATCAGGAGATTTTGGAGCACTTCATGCTTCCATCTGCTGAAAAGCTTTCTGGAGATGAAGATTTCATTTTTCAGCACGACCTGGCACCTGCTCACAGTACCAAAACCACTGGTAAATGGTTTACTGACCATGGTATCACTGTGCTCAATTGGCCTGCCAACTCTCCTGACCTGAACCCCATAGAGACTCTGTGGGATATTGTGAAGAGAAAGTTGAGAGACGCAAGACCCAACACTCTGGATGAGCTTAAGGCCGCTATGGAAGCATCCTGGGCCTCCATAACACCTCAGCAGTGCCACAGGCTGATTGCCTCCATGCCACGCCGCACTGAAGCAGTCATTTCTGCAAAAGGATTCCCGACCAAGTATTGAGTGCATAACTGAACATAATTATTTGAAGGTTGACTTTTTTTGTATTAAAAACACTTTTCTTTTATTGGTCGGATGAAATATGCAAATTTGTTGAGATGGGAATTTTGGGTTTTCATGAGCTGTATGCCAACATCATCAATGTTAGAAACAATAAAAGGCTTGAACTACTTCAGTTGTGTGTAATGCATCTAATATATATGCGAGTCTAATGTTTATCAGTACATTACAGACAATAATGAACTTTATGACAACATGCTAATTTTTTGAGAAGGACCTGCATACCAACCGACACAACACACCAACCAAACCAACGCACTTCCCAGTTTTAGCACCAGAACAAATGTCTTAAAATCTGTTACCAGTTAACCAGGTCTCCTGAGTTTGGAAGTGAGTTATTTATTGTGCTGTTAAGATCCAAACAACACTTCTTGGACCAAATCCAGATACCGATAGTGATCTCACCGAGCTGATTGTGGCCTCCTTCTCATTCAGCTCCTGCTTGTGTCTCGCCATCATGTCATTGATCTCCAGCTCCTTCATGATCTTCTCCTTCTCCAGAAGAGAGTACTGCTCTTCAGCGATGGACCGGGCCAGCTGCTCCGAATCTGCTTTGGTCAGGCTGCTTTCCAGCTGAGCTGCCAGAGAATCCCTGCTCACGGAGACGAAAGCATGAATCCTTATTATCTCATCAAACCACTGGAGCTGTATGAATCTTCGATCAGCACTGACTTAGCGCCACCATAATGCCAGTTAGAAATCCTCCGCCTGCGGTGTGAGCGCACATTAATAAGCCTGTGACATTTTTGTCATTGAGAGGTTTTGTGAGTGAGTGCGAGACTGAGCCAGCTCTTCAACAACAAACATTTGTACGTGTGGGACGTCAGCTCATTCTGTAATTAAGTTCAATGTCAGGCTCTCCTCTTTATAATTCACTGAAGACAAATAAAGCTAACCCTGAAAGTCTGTAGCATTCCTTAGAGCTCAGGTAATTTAAACTTTTGTTTTTATGCACAAACCTGCAGCTAAAACTCAACCTCCCTTATTTTTGTCCACTAACACGCCAGAATATCTACGTGAAATAAAAATGAATATTTGGGCAAGTTTAAATGTCGAATTTCAGACGCCACCATTACCTTTCCTCGTTGTATGCTGCAAGCTGCTGCTGCAGCTCTTTGATCAGCTTATTCCTCTCATCACACTCGTCCTTCAGCTCACGGGTCTGCGTCTTGTACAGCGTCTTTAAACAAGAAAACATTTAAACATTTTACTTGCTGATTGACAAGAAAATGCACATGAATGTAGAGGATTTACACAAACAAGTCATTTTAGAGTAGATGATGCATGTTTGAGTGCAACTGTCAACGTCAGCTCATGTAGACTTAAAAATTTGGCTGTCACTGTTGTTTTTTTATTTATTTAAAAAAAAAGGGATTACTGTGAAATATTGCTCTGCTTCCAGCTGGTCCTTCAGTTCCTTCAGCTGGCCATCAGCCTCCTGCTTCTCCCTGAAACAGCACCAAAAACCTGTCAGTCACTGCCGAGGGCCAGCTGGGCATCACAGCCAAAACGGCAAAAAATAAATAAAAAAATCTCCCACCAGTTAAAAAGCACTGGTGCTAAGAGTGTTGATGTATTTTGTGTTTAGTTTTGAAGCCTGACCTGCGGAGCTCCTGGTTCTGCTTTTCCAGGCTCAACTTCATCTCCAGCAGTTGGTTGACTTCCTGTTTGAGCAGCTTCTCAGAGGAGCCGAGCACGGACACCTGCTGTTTCTGCATCTTCAGCTCGCTCTGACTCAAACTGAGCTTGTGGATCTCCTCCTCCAGACGTGATGTGAGCTGCATCACCTGCACAAATTGGCAATGTGTCAGTATGTGGAACAAGCTAAACTAGAACGAAAACTTGAACCAACTACAACTAATTGGTTCTTCATTTGACTGATTTATTCAATAAAATAAAATAAATTGTATCTGTTTTGGCATCATGGCAGAACCTGGGAGCAAATGTAAGAGAGAAATGTCTTTGAAGGCAAAGCAAAGAGCTAAAACCAGAGTGAACATCGGCATGGCCCACGGTCGATAGAGGGAGCTAAAGGAGGCTACAAAATCACAAATTGATGGTGATTTGTTGCTATTGGACTTGTAAGTAATACAACAATGTGGATGTTTTTACTTAGTTGGTTATTTAGTAGCCCTGCGATGCACTGATAACCTGTCCAGGGTGTACCTCACCTGCTTTCCCAGAGACTGCTGGAGATAGGCACCAGCGGGTTTACACAATGAATGGATGGATGGTTATTTACATCCATTGGCTCATGTTAGCGTTAGTGACAGCCAGCTACTATAGGGTTGCTGAACCCATTTGTAATTCTGCTTTGAACCAGTAGGGGGAGAAGCAGGAAATATCTGCATTGCTTTAAAGTGAGGGTCAATGCATGGGTGGAGACGTATTTCATCCAAACTTCCTGTTAGGAAAGCGCTTCTGAAAGAGGTGTCACCTGGCGGACCGAGAGAGCGGTACTGAGGCAGTGATAGACCGCACCGCCCTCAACCCCCCTGCGTGTGCTGTCAGAGTTTCTCAATCTAAAAATGAGTTAACGAGCGTGTGCACGAAAGCAAGCACTCAGACACTCGCTCAGGAGAACAGCAGACCGATTCTGCAGCATTTCCAGTTAATCACGATCATTAGATGACAAGGGGAGGAGGGCATTTTTTTGTCAAAAAGGCAAGCGGCTCCGAGCGCCCGTGTGTCATACCAGCAGGTGAGTGGCTGAGCCAGGTGGAGGTGCGGCTGCCTCACCTGGAGACCAGTGCAGTGCAGCCATGTAGTACGTTGCTGACTTTGTTTTTCAGCTCAGCCATCAACCACAGCTGGCTCTACATAAATGTGGAGCAGAGTTTTTAACCTGAACATGGAGATATAAAAAATGGTTTTGGGCTGAAATTTTAACTTTAAAGTAAGTTGCACTAAACTGCAACACTAATGATTACACATGTGTGCAGCACCATTAGACACACATCTATACAGGTTATCAGCAAAGAAAAAAGTTAATTTAGGCATTACTTGCTCTTTAAATTTTGTTTGCGTAATGGAGCTCACAAGAACCATACCAATCCATGGAAATGGATTTCTTCATGACTGATTTATTTTGTCTACAAGTAGGGATGCAGCGATACCCCTTTTTTCCAAACTGATATGATAACGATACTTGGATCTGAGTACTCACTGATACCGATTACTGATTACTCATACTTCTACCACACACACACACAAAAAAAAAATGCAATGATTTGGAATACAGATTTTCTTTTCTTCTCTGCTTTCAACAGGAAAAGACTGAGGTAGATAAAAAGTAAAATATATGAATAGAAATCATCACCAAACTAAAATACTAGGTGAAAAGAAATGACAAGTTACAGCGAAGCCATTTTCAAGCAACTGCATTGGTATCGGTTCCTGGTATCGGTTAACTTTTACCGATACGGTATCGGTGCATCCCTACCTATAAGTTTTTCAAATCGCTGTGAAGAAATGTTGTCCTACCCTTTTCCCCACCTGATTTGTTACAATTCAGCCATATTGGTGTTTTTCAGCATGAACGGCCTGTTTAAAGGCACAATGTGTAGTTTTTTTATATTAATTCTGGAAATATTCATCGATATGATGTTGAAAATGAATTAAATGCTTCCCAGTTGTTGAAAAATATTGGCACCTTTGTAACATATAACCCTAAAAATCGAGTCTAAACTACATGGGAGTGGGTCCAAGTGTCTGGGCAATGCCATATTAGACGCCATGTTTCCTCCTACGGGAGTCCGTGAGGACAAAGCACATTTACTGATTTGTAACAAGCTGTTACAAAACTTTACCATTGTTTTACACATTTACCTCTCTACTCGTTGCCAGTGATGAAAGAGAGTGTGATGTTCTTGTCATTTTGCTGGATGTTGAACGATCTAAACAAGTACTCGTTCAAAAATTGTGCTCCCAAGGATTTTTGACCCTAATGGGCTCGATACACGGGAGGCGATTAACGACCGCGATCAGCGAAATTTGTTGCTGTCGCTTTTATTACCTGACACACGGGAGGCGACCCGCGGCAGCGGCAAAGTTGTCGACGCGTTCTGTTCCATGGCAAAATCGAATCTTCCGTTGTTTTGATTGGCTGTGTCAGGTTGGAGGGAATTAAGGTTATTTAAGCAGTTCAGAGTTTAAAAAGTGGTAGATATGATGTTTCACAAGGTGCTGCTAGAGTTATGTGAAATCTTACTTCTGATTTTACTATATAAAAAAAACCCTGAGAATGGGTTCATCCCATATTACAAACCAGAGAAAGAAACGGAGAATACCATCATTTAATTCTGGCACCAACAATTTCCCACGCTGCAGCCTTTGTGTGAATATCTCTATATTCTTTGGTAGAAATATTGTACAGTTCTGGGAAATCCGTCACAGCAAGCATCAACTTCTCCTTCATGTTTGCTCGGAGATGTACGGAGCATCCTGTCCGCTCATTGGTCAGTGAATGAAACCTCTGTTGATTGGTCCTCGTCCGAGTGACAGCGATGAAAAGCTGAAAATATTTCAACTTTCTGGGATCGTGTTGCTGCGTCGCCTGTGCACGACACGTGCATGAGCACAAAATTTTACACGCACGTTTTTCGCGTTTCGCTTAGTGGGAGGGAGATCCGCGATTATCGCTTTGTCCCGCATGTCTCGTTGAAAATGAATGGAGGAGAGGCGATGTCACCTCCCGTGTGTCGAGCCCATAATGGCCATCCGTTGGTAAGGTCTTATGCAAACACAAAAATACTGCTGGCTTGCAACAATTTATTACTTCCCCCTATCGTCAGCAACAATACAGTCACTTCAAGGTCAAAGGTCAGACTTACTTCTTTAGCATTTGCAGCTAATGCGCAGAAATCATAATCCCATCAAGTCGACCGAGGCAGCTAAGCAGCTCCATACAGTCGCTGCTGTGTTAAACTGTTGGTTTGATGTTCTTTCTCTCAGATTCAGCGACAGTTTTGCACCAGATGTTTTGAGGCAAACACCTTCTAAAAAGCTCCAGAGGGGAGGACACTAGAGGGACACTATTTCAACCGACAAACATGCTAAAATCTTGATTTAAAATCACCTCCTCGGAGCTTTTCTTCTTCTGCATCTTCAGCTCCTCCAGCTTGTGCGCCGCCCGCTTGTAGTCACAGTCTAGCATTGAGTGCGCCTTCTGCAGCTGGAGCAGCTTTTCCTCCACGAGCAGCTTTGAGCTGCGCTCCTCCTGCAGGGTGTTCTCCATCTCTGGACCAACAGAAACAAATCTGCATGAGGAAGACTAAAACATTTGGAATGCAGCAGAGATTTGGAACAAGCCAGCTCGTTTTATATATAAACTGTTGCCCCTTCTGCTTTATTTTGTTTCCTAGTTGCCCACCTTTCAAGGCCTCCGATTTTGCCTCCTCAATGGATTGATAGACTTTATTTTTATCAGCGAGCTTTGCTTTAGTGGCTTTGTGCTCTGCCTCTTCCTGCTCCAAACTCTGCTGGAGAGACTTCAGCTTAAAAGTCAGATCGATCTCCTGGTTGTTCTTTTCCTGCAGTCAGAATAAAAAAAGCAATTTTCTTTTAGTGCCTTTAACACAACATTGCACGTACAACTTGTTAAATATAACGTTTAAATGATTAGCGAACAAAAATAACCTTTTCAAGGTTGTTTAGCTTCCCCTGCAGCTCCTTCTTCTCAGTTTGGATCTTAAAAAGTGTCGATTTCATCTCTTTCAGCTCCTTTTCCAGACCAGAAAGGCTTCCTAATAAGGAGGAAAATGAACAATGGGGAAAAGAGAGGGATTGTAAAATGATTTGTTACATCCAACTGATGCCTTGAGACAAAAATGCACCAAATTAAAGGTATGAATTTAAACGGCTCATTTTCAGACATTACATAATCCCCTCTGTCCACTTTTGGCCTCAAATATGCACGCACACGCACGCACGCACGCACACATGCACGCACGCACGCACGCACGGACGCACACATGCACACACACACACACTTTGGTGTGTACTTTAATTTTATCTGAATCCGCCCACATGGAGACTTTGAGGAGAAGAAAGAAGCATGAGGAGGTTTAGAAGCAAACAGGTAACACTTTGTTTTAATACACCCTTCAGACTCAGTTTCCAACGTGTTTCTAAAGACGTTTGGGCTCTTGTTTGGTTTTAACAGCCTCCTGCTTCACTCTCAGCCTGTTTTCCACCAATGATCACATATTTCCCAAAGCTGCGTCCAAAAACACGACTCTGTTCTAACGCCCTCTCCATCCTAAGTTGTGTAACATCTTTTCCCTGCAATTTAGTTGTTTACTTGCTGTAAGTGTTCTAGATCAATCAAACCTCTTTTATATCATCTCTTCTGGCCCTTTTTAAATGTTTTATTACTTAAATAAAACATAAGCTGAAAGACGAGTTGTTTCTAAACACATACTTGGTTCATTTTGATGCCTTTTACGGTCAGAACCTCACCCTGCAGGTCAGAGATGGTTTCAGCTCCGAGGCTGCGGTTCCTCCTCTCCTCCTCCAGCTCGGCCTGTAGTCCTCTCAGCTGCTTCTCCTGCTCCAGTTTGCAGTTTTCCAGCTGGTTGTACTTGTCCTGCACCTCCCCGAGGCTGACCTCCAGGCTCTGGGCTTGTTTCTGGGCCTCGGCCTGACACTTCTTCATCCGTGCCGCCGCCTCCTTCTCGGCCTGAAGCACGGCGTTGGTCTCCTCGAGCTAAACGCGGCAAACAGATGGGGTCAAACTTCCTCCCGGAAGGTTAAACTTCACCTGAGAACTCCAGTTTTCAAAAAGAAAACCATGACCATGATGTTTTTTTAATCGGAAAAGACTATCCAGGATCAGGCCTCTGCTGTCCAGAGCTCATCTGGAGTCTGTGTTGCATGCTTTCGTCCTGTCCCGTCTGGACTACTGTAACGCTCTGTATGCCGGTCTGGGCCAGTGCACGGTTGCACGGCTCCAATTTGTACAGAACTCAGTGGCTAGATTCCTGTCAGGTACTAGATGCCGAGATCACATCACTCCAGTGCTGGTTGATCTGCACTGGCTCCCGGTGCAATACCGAGCTAAATTTAAGATCTCAACTCTCGTTTATAAGGCCCTCCAGGGCAGTGCCCCCTCTTACATTACTGCACTTTTGCACAAGTATGCTCCACCTCGGTCTCTTCGTTCAGCCGAGCAGGGACGCCTGGTGGCCCCCCCGTCGAAATATCGATCGAGGGGTTATCGTGCATTTTCTGTTTTGGCTCCAACTCTGTGGAATGAATTGCCATTGAGCATTAGGCAGGCGCCGTCCCTTCAAGTCTTTAAGTCTCGTCTAAAGACTCATTTTTATTTGATTGCTTTTCAGCGCTAGGGTTCATTGAATTGCCCTGACATTATGGTTTTTAATACTTCTTTTTGATCTTATTTTGTTCACCATTTGTTTTTAATTGATTCGTCTCATTCCGTTACCTCTCTGTATTTGTAATATTGCTTGCTTGTTATTTTATGATTTTATGTTTTTATCTTGCTTTTATGCCCAGGTACTGGGAATGTTTTTATGATGATGCTGTTCAGCACCTTAGGCTTCTGATAACGTTGCGGAAGGTGCTCTAAGAATAAAATTGATTGAATTGATTGATTGATTGATCAAGTATTCAATCAAGGTCATTATGAACAGCCTCTTGGAGGTGGCACGGCGTTGTTTTGAGGCAGTTGGAAGTATTTAGGAATTGTTTGTGGGATTTTTGATTATATTTCCTAGAAATGCAGCCATTCTGGTTTCAAAGACGGATGCAGATTTTTCATTCTTCTTGCAAAAACTGAATTTGACCAACTCAAATCAGCTCAAAGTGCTGCAGTTATTTATCACATAAAACAAATCTGAACTGCTTGAAAATATAGATTCTGAAACTAAAAACATCCATTTGGAAAGCCTTTAGTTACTAGAGTCAATTAGTGCTTAGTGGTGGTGAGTTTGTGATCTAGAGGGAAATGTGTATTTTTTTTTATCTATGCTTGGCAATGGTGCATTCACAGACCTAGAAAAAAATAGATTTTTGAGTTTCAGATTTGGATTTTGGCTAATTCTGTCATCTCTCTACTACTTCTGCATGAAGCTTCTAAATGTAATATTCTATGATATCCAACCATGAATTGACTTGGTTATAATAATAATAATTATTATTATTTGGCCATTTAAAAGTTTACTAATGTATAAAAAGTGAATTTCTTATTTAGCTACCTGAACAGCCTCAGTTCAGAGCAACAGAGTTTAGGACCTCTAGAAAAGATGCGCTAATGGCTAGTCTGAGCACAGCTAAAGTCAAAGTGTGTTGTTGCCATCTTAAAATGCGTCCAATCTTAAAATTTCACATTGTTTAAAGCAACATTATTTCGTAAAGTCACAGTTTAGAATTACATGCTTATTTAGAGGCATATGGCCTACTTGCTGTTTAACGACGCAAACACGTGTTAAAAATGGCTGCCATGCATAACTTGCATTGATTTGAAGCGTTTGTGTGCATCCCCCAGAATTAACCAGACATTTTAGAACGCTGAAATATACAAGTAACCAGTAGGTGGTGTTGACAAAACGAGCGAGATACACCCACCAGGGTGACTCCGTCTCGGCTTTAGAAGACTTTCATACCATCTAAGATACCACTGCTGTCTTTTTTTTCCTGCTGTGAACTCAAAATTTACGCCATGTTTGTGTTGGTTGTACCCACAAACCCGGCTTTCTATCAGGTCTGAGTAGTCTAGTGGGCCCCCGTGTGGAACACTCCGGTACTACACGCGGTGCCGTGCAGTGTAGCGCAGCAGCGAGAATGTGAACAAAGATGCTGCCTGCACCAACGCAAAGTTAAAAGTAAGTATATCCTGGCTCTAACAGTCACCAGGTGAAGCTAAATTAACCCTTTCTGGAGCATTCAGGGGTGAAGTCTGGCAGCAAATTAGTACTTGTGCATAAAAACATGCGGTACAAAAGAGGTGACGGTGTTTATAAAATCCCATTTAAAGACGACAGGAGGGCCCTTTGGTCTCAGATGACCTCCATAGACTCATAGCTGTTTCTCTTAACAGAGGCTGTTCAGGATGCGATTTGACAGAGACAGTAATTATATCCAAGTTTTGCCCAGAAATTACCCTTGTAATGACTTAAAACCTCCAGCTTTAAAAATTATTTAGTTTTTTCCTTTACTTGTGTTATTTAATAAAACAAATGCTTGTACAACGATCAACCAACCATTACTTTTTCCTGTACTTTGGTTAATTTTAGCAAATTATTACACAATTTTATTAAATAGATCAAGTTTGTTCCAAACACAGGAAAAGAGTTGGTTTTCTTTAGACATTTGACGTGCCGCTACTCCTGATTCAGGTGTTTTTCTGGAGATTATGACAGCAGATCTTTATTAACTGTTTCCTGCTTTGATAAATCTCGCGTTGACCTCCAGCGCATTAATCAGCTACATTATTTACACTTCAATGACAAACAAAACAGCTACCTGCTAAAATCCTCTTCATGCCCTAAACTTCACTTTTTGCTCTGAAACGAGCCTGAAACTTGGCATCAGCTGGCTGTTCCTAATGCCAGGTGCTCACCTGTCTCTGCAGCTGCATCTTCTCTTCATTTGAGATCTGCGACTGCTGGTTCCTCTTCTTCAGATCCTCCAGCTGGTCCCTCAAAACGTTCACTGAAACAAACGACAGGAAGGAAAGTGAAGCTCCTGGAATGTCAGCAAGACATTTAGGCTGTGATGTAAAGTTTGTTGCTGCTCACGCTCGTTCTCCAGGCTGCGTTTTCTGTCCGATTCCATCTCGGCCTTGCGAAGGCTCTCGGCACTTTGGTGCTGCAGCAGTGCTCGCTCTCGCTCCAGCTGCCTCAGCGAGGCTTCCACCTTCTGCCTGCTGTTCATCTGATGATGGATCATAAACACGGTGAGCAGAAACAAACCTGCACTCTCCTGATGGTGTCAGATTTGGTTCCTACCTCCTTATCCAGCTCTTTGACCAGCTTATCTAAACGGTTGGTTGCATTTCTGCAAAGAAAACATCACTTTTAATCAAATTACAGCACTGGAAGAACTTGTGGTTTTTTGTTCAATAATAAATCTATTTGTGTGTGTGTGTGCGTGCACGTGCATGTGCTCATACCTGCACTTTTGCTCCAGCTCATCTTTGGCCTGCATCTCATGATCGAGCTGCTCCTCCAGCAGTTGAAGATTTTTCTGCAGCTGCTCAGAATCAAAGACCAGAAAAAGAAACCAAACCATTTATCAGGTCCTGTCCATAAACGATGTAAAGACTTTGCACAAAAAGACACAAACCTCCTTCTTGTCCAAACAGTTCTCCTTGTCTTTGGCGTTTTCTTTAGAATTGTTTGATTCCTCCACAGAGCTGCTGTTGCCACCGCCTTTCAGCAACCTGGGGGGAAAAACAGCAAAGAGTCCAAACTTTTATATTAATGCTTAGGAAATTTCAGAGCAAATCTGTCAGAGACCTCAATCCACAATAAACACCATCCTGCCTTCCTCTTCATTTCGTTTGGTAAAGTTGCGTGTTTTGTTTTGCGCCTCAGGGCCACCGTAGTTTACAACGCACCATGCTCATCAGCTTCAAGTCTGTATATTAAGATATAAAGGTATAAATTTCTATTTCACACAAGAAAATGCAGCCATGTTTAAAGCTCTGATTCACTTATTTATATATATACATATCTGCGGTGCTTTCTCTAGTGGATCTCTCTGAAAAAAAGTTCTGGCGCTCCTGTTTCAGGATGTAGAAGTTAGCAGGAGAAGGGAGCAGAAAACAGCATGAGATGATTCAGGATGAGAATCAGCACCTCAAAATTCGAGACCATGGTCTTGAGTCAGAACAGGGCAGAAGGCCTTTAGGGTCAGGGATGAGGTCTTGCCCCAAGTGGAGGAGTTTAAGTAACCTGGGTCTTGTTTCACAAGTGAGGGAAAGATGGAGTACGAGATTGACAGGCGCATTGGTGCTGCGTCTGCAGTGATGCGGGAGTTGTACCGATCTGTCGCGGTGCAGAGAGCTGAGTCAGAAGGCAAATTTCTCGATTTACCGGTCCATCTACGTTCCTACCCTCACCTATGGTCACGGTAGTGACCGAAAGAACGAGATCGCAGCCAAAAGGAGTTTTCTCCTCAGAGTGTCGAGAATCTCCCTTAGAGATAGGGTGAGAAGTTCAGTCATCCGGGAGGAGCTTGGAGTAGATCCACTACCAGTTCAGGTGGCATCTGGTTAGGATGAGCAGGCTCAAGAGGCTGGGGAGAGGAAAGTCTGGGCCTCTGCTTAGGCTGCTGCCCACATGACCAGACCCTAGATAAGTAGATAATAATGGATGGATATTCTGACATCTCACCTCTGATTGGCTAACAGCAATTTGACTTTTCCACTGCCTCCATTTGCTCTGCCATGTTGATGTGTTATCTCCACCAACATCACAAGCCTGAAGGAGTTCTGCCATGTTGTGGAGTTGCTAATGCTAACGGTTAGCTTCTACTAGCTGAGACATGCTCTGCTCTCTCCTGGACACTACACCAACAACAGCCTTCCCCGTCATAATGTAATGTAATGCATCAAATAAGGGCAAAAGACCATTTTCACATTTCGCCTGCACGTGGAAATCATATTTCAAAAATAACAAGTAAAAAAAAAATTTTAAACGGCTTCTCAGTGTCGTTTGCTTCAAAGTTTCTATTTTTTGCAGGTTCTTGTGAAATATTTTACTTTGAAGAAAGCGTCTACTTCCTAAGATTAGAAAATAAGACCATAACAACATAAATCCTATTTTTTTTACTGAGCAAAACTGGGAAAGGAACCGAGAGCTAATCAAAAGCAAGCAGTGCAGCTGAAGTGACGAAACAAGGCGGCAGTATGGGACTGAAACAGAGTTACAGTGTCTGACTGGAGTACAGGGACTGCAGTATGACTGGCATGAGAGTCTTGCTGAGGATGAATGCATTTCTGTACGTTTAAACTTAAAAACTAACAAAACAAGAAACAATAACTTTAAAAAATTGAGTGAAAAAATAAAGACTTACTGATTTTCTTTGAAATAAGTGAAGCCAATAAAAGGTAGCTGGTTGCCCACAAAGGCTTTGGGTGGAGAAAAGGTCTCCGCATCTCCTTTTTCCGCCTCTATGTCATCAAAGTTACTCGTGTCTATGTCGCTGTGGAGCTCCGGCACAACTGGGGCCACAGCTGGAAGACAGAAAGAGAGTCAGAAGGAGAGGAGGAAGGGGGAGGAGGAGGCGCAATGCCGAGAAGAGTCGGGGAGAAGTAAAGATGCTGATGTGCTCAGGGATTTAAATCTTAAAAGAGCGGAATATTATTTTTACCCGTTTTGAGTGAAACTCTGTGCCAGCTTGGTAGGCAAGTTTTCTGCCTGAGCTCGACACCCCTCCTTTTCCCCACACACTGCTCGCTTTGTGCCCCGCACACTGTTGCCTTTCACAAATGAAGCCTAACCACGCCAGAGCTGATTGCTCCTGCTCTCTTTTCACAAGCGCACACACACTTTAGAAAACATGCAGACAGAAAAAAGAAAAAAATCATCTGTAAAGCGGCCAGTCAGATAAAACTAAACTAGCTCTTTAGTCTATAAAAGGATCTTAATTAAGACAAAAAAAACAAATAAAGCAGCCATTATGGATTGGACGCCGCAGACCAGAGTAACTCAAGCTCAGGCCAAGAGCTCATTGCTGCTGGGTCGAGACTCGGCCCCCAGCGTGACAAACCGGAACGGGGATGAAACAAACGCAGGGGCAATCAGAAAACAGAAACTGGAAAATAAAAAGAAAAGTGTGGTGAGACAGAAAAGAGACATGGATGCCCTTGTGGCAAGAATTCCCAGAATGCTCTCTGATAGCGGGAGGCTTAATGACAGGCAGCCGTGGCCTCAGTGAGAGCGAAGGAGAAGGAGACGCTTTGCAAACCGGGGCGCCCCTCTCATTAGATGTAGCCACATGGGCTGCCCCGCCCGCCGCTACAGGGATGCATCCATCCATCCATCCATCCATCCATCCATCCATCCATCATGCTCACTTCTTTTATTATGTCGGTTTAATACTTGACATCAAAACACGTGAGGCATGAATGCACAACCACACACGTTAACACACTTCTGCAGGACGCAGGAAACGTTGCAGGGTCATGTTTGGAGAGTGTGTGTCCGTGCGTGTGTGTTTCAGAACACGCATGTGCAAACGTGAGGAAAGCAGCGGCACACCAGCGGTCTCATGTTCCAGACCGCCAAGCGCTGATCAGAAGTTGGGTCCTAATCTGGACCAGGTGAAGCGGAGGAAAGTCGAGGCAAATAAAACGCATCTGAGTGTAATCACACACAGACACAGAGAGGCTTTTCATATTCCTAACGCATCCGCTTCTCTTGTTCTCTCCCTTTTTTCTGTCGCTTCTCATTTCCTTCCAAATGGAAACAATTGATTAAGCGATTCACATCTGAACAATTCAGCTCTGCACAAAGAGCTCAACTGTTTTTTTATTACAACAAAAGTTTTTTTTAGAGCCACTCGATGTTGGAAATGTGTTAAGAGTGCACAACGTCTTCAATCTGTGATGCTGATGATTTGTGATTTTTCTTTATATGTTTTTAGTAATTTACCACACTAATATTTATTAGGGGTGGGACTTGATCAAAAAATTTATCTAACAGATCAGAGGCTTTGTAATCAATTAATCTTGCTTAATCACATTTAATCATTCAAACGATAGGGCATACATTATGATACTAATCTTTTTTGGCCCTCAATGGTGGAGCGCTCAGGCTCAAACATTAATTTTTCCTTTGTCCTAATTAATTCGTTGTAATTAATGGGTTAAAATTCCTACCCCTAATATTTATATATTTGTAATAATATTTACTAAACTAAATGCATATAAATGAAATGAATCAACGTATCCAACAAAAATATAATCAGTTATTATTTTAACCTTTTTATTGTCGAGGTTTCCTACATTGTTGATGCTGATTTAAAACCAACATTTAAATGGTTTAATAGACTTTTTCAAAGTATGTTTAAAAAAAGAGATAAATTACAGAACTCCATTCATTTGTAAAGCACCAGCCTTATGAATGTAAAAGGAGATATGAGGATGTTTCTTCAACTCAGCTTTAGTGTTATTATTTAGGAAGATTTGGTTTAAATTAGAATTTAAAAATACTAAATGATCAAAAACAATGTTAGTTTATGTTTTTAGGTCAAACCCCAAAAGCTGAGCACCATTTAAAAATGAAACGAAACCTCAAGAATGTTGTAGGTTTTCTTTTAATGAAGTACCGACAGCTTAAATTTCATGCCATTATAAATATTCTCAAATGCATGCATAGTTTATTTTGCAGGATTTGTGCAAAATTTGATTTGTTCTGCATAGGATCCCAACTTATTAGGTCAGAAGAGTGAAGGAACACATGGCGAGCATGTGCACTGATGCTGGAAATAAACTTGATTATCAGGCTAAAGTAAAACAGGTCTGCAGAGGAATGAGCTGGACTTGATAAGAGGCGCATGACCAAAGAAGGAAACCCAAAAATCTGCACCTGCACCGATTTACAAATCAGCATTGAAACAGCATGCACGTGTGTACTCTTACTGTCACGGATGTTGTCGAAAGTCCACTGGTCGTTCCTGAAGAAGGGGTGACGTTTGATCTCATCCACTCCGGTGCGGCCCAGACGAACCTTCCTGCACCCAACGACAGGCAAAAGAGAGTCTGAGAGCAGAGTCGTCTTGGTGTGAATGCAAAAAATAAATAAAAAACACAGCCCGCTCCTCCCCTCAACCAACCATCGCAAACATCATCCAAAACACGAGTGGAATGAATGCGACCAAGGTGACCAGCATAGAGAGCTGTGTGACCAGAGGTAATCCACATCCAAACCATCAAGACACAATCGAAGAGACTACTCCTTCCTTCTCTTATTTCACTCTTTCACCGCCTTAGCGTCCCCTTCCTCCCTTATTTCCCCCAATTCCACCTCTGGGTACAAGGCTGGAGAGGGGTAGGGCCGTGGGACATTCCAGATCCAGCCAGAAGGAAGAAAGGGCAGAGGTTGGGGAGGATGAAACAGAAAAGGAGAGTTTTCTAACACCAGCATGTAGAAAACATACAGCCATGTTTCAGCACCCAGGAGGAGGAAGTCAAGTGTGATGAGGGAAAACTCAGAAATGGAAATTGAGATCTAAAAATACAGAAGGGCAGTTTTTCAAATTACAAGACGGAAATAATGTGTGAAGGAAAACGGAAAGAATTCCAGAGGAGAAGGTGGATGTGCCTAAAAGGGTGACACAGCATGATGGGAAGACAATGACAGAGCATGTGGGTTAAGTGAATACGGTCATTTGTGTGTGTGTGTGTGTGTGTGTGTGTGTGTGTGTGTGTGTGTGTGTGTGTGTGTGTGTGTGTGTGTGTGTGTGTGGGTGGCTTGGCTGCGGTACACACACATCAGATTATGTCTGTGGTGTGAGAATATGGAAAGATAAAGTAAATAAACAGGAGGAGGAAAAAAAACAACAACATATGAAAGGCTGCTCTATAGGCAGAAAGGGTCTGTGTTTGAGCCCTCTTAGGGGAGGGGTCTCTAATGTAAACAGGAAGTGGTCTCTTCCACAGGAAATAGTCACAAGTCTGGAGCATTACCCACACACCAACTTACCCAACCGTACCTTTAACACTAATGTATGAAAAATAGAAAAAAATAAATAAACAGCACTGTTTATGTTGGACTATATTATTTTTGTAAACTATACTTAAGTAACAGATGCTTTTAAACTTTCAGCTAGAGCGTTGACATTGATCTCAGTGATTGTTGGGTTAGCCAGTTTCATGTCTGACTCTGCTGCCCTCTGCTGGCCAAATAGTGCACTGAACAGTTTTGTGGAGCTCTTTACCTGTGTTACGGCTGTTAGCTGTAATGCTAGCAGTTAGCATTTTCAGTTCGTCGATCATCAATAAAAGAACAACAAAAAGAAGAAAGTTGTTTTTTTCTGTTGCCATCATGGTGTAGGCAGGGTGACCAGAACATGAGCTTCCAATACAATGAGATAAAGTAAAAGAGATGCTAGCTCTACATCAATGTTAAATATACATTGAATTATTAACAAATATTAATGCAAACAGCAAAAGCTTTTATACCATTTCACGGTTCTTCCCCAGTGAACTCAGGCTCTTTGGACCTTCTAAAATGGCTCTGAGTAACTTAGCTAAAATCTTTTTTCAAAACACACAACAAATGACTAACCTCTAAAAAAATTCAGATCCAATCTAATAGAGATCCTTGGAGTTACTTTTTCCCCCCAAAAATTCTGAAAATGGCTTCAATTTCATTCAGTCATTATTTCTCACTCTTCTGCTTTAATGGTTTGTGTGCGCCCTCCATGCACTCCCGACTTGCGTTAAAGTCACACCCCCTATTTTGACAGCAACAGGCAGCTTTCACCACACAGTTTACGCAAGACTGAAACCCTAAACGGGAGACTTTCAGTAACGCGGGGCATAAGTTAAAATTTGCGGGATCTGTGAAAAGTAATGAATACACTGTCCCGGGATGTCTGGTCACCCTTTCCTGGTGGCGCCTGGATGTAAAAGTAAGCAAGTAATGTCTTTGGAGGCCAAGCAAACAGCTAAAATGGTCTACACTGCTCTGAGGGAGGCTACAATATCACAGACTGATGGTGACCTGGCTTTGTTGTTACTGGATATTGTTTTGTCCAACAATGTGGATCTTTTTACTTCTTGATTCTTTTTTAGTTGGCTCGGGTTGGTGTTATCCCGTTGTTAGTGCTGGCTACAGCAAGGTTGTTTATGACCGTTGTAATTCCACTTTCAACCAGTAAGGCAGAGGAGCAGGAAACTATCTAGTGTTACTTTAAACAAAGCTGTATTTTTTTCTTGTTTTCAATGAATATATTCAACCTATGAATTTACATCCAAATTCCAGTAATATTTACATTAGAGGACACCAGAAGTGACTGAATCTAACATGATGGCTCTCATCATGCGGAGGCCGGCGACCTCTTAGCAGATCTCTAACTCAAAGGAAGGAGTTTGACATGCTGTCAAAACCCTTAAACCTTTGCACCTAATCTACGGACTTCTGTACCCGGGGTCTCCAACCCCCTGACATCTCGGATCCGCAAGGGCGTCTCCACAGTGAGATGGCGTCTGTATGCAGTTTGATAAGAACAGCTTACAGCTCAGATGCAAATCAAATTCTTTTATTATCCAGAACTCACCTCTCTCTGAGATGCGTGGACTTTGACTCTGAAATACTATATTCACAACCTAGTTCCAGACACTCATCTCTTTGTTCGCATCCACTCACAGGAAATAATAGTTTAAACCATTTGTCAAGTCTTAAATTGTTTGTAAAATAAATTATCTGTTTGCAAATTTGACTGTTTTTTGAATCATAAGTGAAGTGTGACGATCCCTTAATAATTAAAAGAATCCTTGAACCTTCTAATTATTCATCCTAAGACCAAGCAAGGTGATATTCTATAATAATAGAGTATTACAGCTATTGGTCACAAAGTAATGAGAATAGAAATAAATAGCTCTAAAGCAATTTATTTAATCCAATTTACCCTCTATTGACTTCATTACAGTGTTTCAACAAGTAATTAAGATGATTAAAATGTATTTACTGTAAATCCTCTAATACAGGCCAGTATTCAATTAAAGGCCGGGTCTCCAATTTTGGCCCGTGTCGGAGTCGGCGGAGGTGAATAATGGCCGGTCTCTTATTGTGGCCGGGTGGAATGTGGTAACAAGCAAGTACGGGGCAGTTGTGTCATCGTCTCACTTTTGATTTGCCAGTGATAGACCACGAGGGTAACTTTAACCGTGCGGAGATGAAGAGGAGGCGAAAATTTGATATCAAGTTCAAAGAGAACTGCGCTGCAGAACACTCTGGGGAGCAGTAGCAGGGGTTGTATGAACTAGTCGACTTCACTACAGTGACTTTTTATGTCTGTCGTCGACTAGTCGATGTCACGTGATAATTACCGGCAAGATGCAGCCCTCGGAAAAGACAGCAGCCTGCTGTCAGCAGGTGACAAGCTCTTGCGCGTGGGGGGGGCGCAACGCGCTGTGCCAGAGCGTCGGTACTGACACGCGATCGTTCATGTCGGTTCATTTCCTTTAATGTTTTCTGTCTTTTATTTGTTCCTGATGTGTTACGCTGCTGTGGAGCGGGGCACATCAACTTGTCCTCCGACGCACCGATCACTGATGCGGCCGCCAAACAGGGAGCGCTCCGCTGTTTTTGCGGTCGGTAGATCTGCCTCCTGAGCACGGCCACAGTAACAATCAGGTGTTGCCACCTCAAAAACTAATTTAACACGCAATCGTTCATGTCAGTTCATTTGCTTTAATGTTTTCTGTCTTTTATTTGCGCCTGATGTGTTTCGCTGCTGTGGAGCGGGGCACATCACCTTGTCCTACGACGCACTGATCACTGATGCGGCCGCCAAGCAGCGAGCACTCCGCTGTTTTTGCGGTCGGTAGATCTGCCTCCTGAGCACAGCCACAGTAACAATCAGGTGTTGCCAAATTATTTAACACGCGATCGTTCATGTCGGTTCATTTCCTTTGATGTTTGCTGTCTTTTATTTACGCCTGATGTGTTTCGCTGTGGAGCGGGGCGCATCAACTTGTCATCCGGTGACGCACCGATCACTGATGCGGCCGGCAAGCAGCGAGCACTCCGCTGTTTTTGCGGTCCGTAGATCTTTTAGTACTGCAGTTCAAAGGTAATTCATAAGGTGAATATATATGAACCCAGGTAGCAGTTTTTCTTTAGGATTGAGAGGAGATGCAGGAAGATAATAAACAGACAGGACAGAAAAATAGTCAAATAAAAACAAGTTAGTTTTTGTACCTGCTGGTTGCAACAAACAGCCACCATTGAAGGTAATCAGAAGTGAGGAACAGAAAATGAAATAATTATTTTAATGTTTAGAGCAGCAGGAACTCCGAGAGGCTGCTGGCGCATCAGTGAGTTTGCGGCCGCTGCGCAGGGGGAGGGGGGGAGATGGCTGAAGCAGAAACTACCGTTGTTAAAAGAAACGTGTTTAACTTTGAAAATGTGGGCGCAATTTTAATTGTCAAAAACTCCAGCGAACCATTAGTTCATTTTGCTCAAATAGAAATAGAGACCTGCCTCTAATACTGGCCCCCCTTCCAATAAAGGCCTGGAGCTTGATGAGCTTGAGTCAAATACAGGCCCGGGCCTGTATTAAAGGATTTACGGTAGGTTGTAACTCCGGGTGATAATAACTTACAGGTAAACTGATAAATGACTGGCCACGAGGAAGTTGGTGAAATTTCCAAGGCAAATGACATGTAAATTACAGCGAGTATACCAGGCTAGACAGATCTGAAATCTGTAGAGTTTGGTGTGCAAACCTGTCAGTCAGAAAGGAGCAGATGAGATCTTTGGCGTCCTTAGACATGTCGACATCATCTGGAAAGCTTAGGGCGTTCTGGTGGTTCATGATCTTCCCATAAGTTCCGATGAGCGACTCGGCATAAAACGGAGTTTCACCTATGACAGAAATCAGACATCAAAACATCTGAAAAATGACCCAAAATGGGCTGAATCAAAACATTTGTACAAAACCGAGATTGAAAGTTATTTTGAAAACACAGACCCAGAAGAATCCCTGTTATTGAGTAATGTGAAGCAGAAAACACCCCGTGTTTTGATTCAAGTGTGAACTCTGACCTAAATCAATTAAATTGTGTGTTAGAAATATTTTACAAGGTGTCTGACAAAACTACTCTTCGCTAAGAGGCACTGACAGGTTTAGACACTTAAAACGAAAAAAATCTGCTGGCGGTCAGAATCTGTTCTGCAGTATTCTAATCTGTATCAGAAACATCTGAATTTTTATTTGTTTTCTTTAGTCTGTGAACGCAACATTCTCAAGCAGCAACAATATATAAAAATCAGACATTTTTCCTGGTCAATGAACTCACCACTACTAACCTTCATGTGGAAGCTTTTTCTTCCAGAAACATTAGCTTTGTTTACGTAAGAACAAGTAATCAGAATGAATGCCCCATCAGATCAAAAATTCTTCAACTAAACATGTCAGTCAGAATATTCTGATCCGATACGGTCCGATCGGAATGAAATTCCATTCCGATTGAGAGAGGTGGTTTTGTCCGATCAGTCGAAATCTTGGGAGTAAAATAATGCCCACTTCGCAAATTCGGCGTGACGTTTTCCCGCCTTTGCAGCCGCTCAAGTCAGAAACATGGCGGGAGGTAAACAGAAGTTATCCTGCTCTCCTCTCCTGTGGCAGAGGAGCAGTAGCGTTACGTACCGCTGAGCCTGTAGCTTAGTTAAAGCAATCAGTAAAAACAAAACCATACAGGTAAAAATGTGAAGAAGGTCCATAACGGGAGGAAAAACTGCCAAAGCTAGAGAATAAGAAAATTAAATGCGAGGGGAACGACGAGCGGACAAGATGGTGTTTGTTTACTTTCCGGGAAAGACAACTTCTGCGCATGCCTAACCTGTTTAATCTGATTGAATGCTCGGTGCATGTATACTCACGGCATGATCGGATCATTTCAGTTAGTCTCCATGTAAACAGAGATTTGGGATTTCCAACCAACCGAGATTCGAATCGGATAGGGGAAATCTGGCGCATGTAAATGTAGCTAAAGTTAATTAGGAATCTATGAAATCCACACATACAGACGTAATTTGTGACAGTTATAGTTTTTCACAAAAAACCAGGATCAGTCAAAATAAATCAATCAATACCCGCAGGTCTGAACCGTACGAGAATCCACGAAAAACAGAAATGGTGCTTTTTGTGTTTACCTTTGTAAACACCAGCGCTAACACCTATCACGCTACTCTAGAGCAGCATGTCCAGTCGAGCAGTAAGACACTTACCCACAAACATCTCATAGATAAAAACTCCCACAGACCACCAGTCACACTCCCGGCCGTAGTAACCATCCCCGCCCTGAGACTGGAGCACCTCGGGGGAGATGTAGTCCGGCGTGCCTACAGCCGTCTCACAATTCACCATACCCGTCTGCACACAAACAAAAACGTTACATAATGCGTTAATCCAGCCAGTGAAACGAAAAGCCAAAAAAAAAACCAACCCCACTTCCTGTCTCACACAAGAGCACAAAAGCTTCTCCCAAAGAGCCACTTCTGCTGTCCCACCACTTGATGGCGCAGCGGAGCCCTTCAAGGAAAATTACTCATTTAAATTCAGATGCTGCAGTAGAAGAGGTCTGAATCAAACCCACCGAGTCCATCCTCATGCACGTGCCAAAGTCGGCCAGCTTGAGGTGTCCGTGTTGGTCCAGCAGCATGTTGTCGGGTTTGACGTCGCGGTGGATGAAGCCCATGGAGTGGATGGTGTCCAGCGCCATGACGACTTCCGCCGTGTAGAAGCGAGCCCACTTCTCGGGGATGTCGTAGTTAATAGTGAGCGTGACCAGGTCACCCCCGGGCATGAACTCCATCACCATGTAGAGGTGGTGGACATCTTGGAAAGCACAGCAGAGCTGGAAGAGGGAAGGAGAAACCGTTTAATCTTGTTTAATCCCTCATTTGGGTCTAAAACTTTGAATGCAAGTGCATCTGGATCATTCTATTTATGTTACTTAGCATTTAAATGACAGATTTAAACAAAAGATACAAATTTTTTTTAGATTTATAGTTTTATGCTTCTGTTCTGTTGAAAGAGGGAGAAAACTGGTGCTAATGAGCTGCATGTCTACCTAAAGGACCAAACGTGTTTTAAAGTGAAGGCAACTCCTTTACACGCCTTTTCTTTTCATTTCCTGCATCTGATTACACGATGTTTAGGATCCCTGCAGAGATAGAAGTGTTCCTGGAAAACACCTGAATCTCAAATCTTAGGAAGACAAGAAAGAATACACAACTTAGACCGGCAGTCTGTGCGTACGCGGTTTATTGTGAGACCTTTTCACTGCTAAAACTTTCACTTTTTATGGATACTCTTGAAGATTTATTACGAAATTCCAGCCAAATAACAAACTATCGCAAAATTAATGAAACATGAATTTTAAAAATTGTATAGCATGAATTACTTTGGAATGTTTGACATTTGTGTCGTTTTAAGATAACAGAAACACTATAAACTCCATTTCTTCAAACTAAGGTTGATCAACAGGACAGGTAAAATAATAATAAATACCATTTCTATAGAAACACCTCAAAACATCTGAACTTTCACTTTTAACGTTTCACATTTGCGTGATTTTAGTGACTTAACCTAAATATTGTGACATTTTTAAACACTACCTTTGAGACAGAGTAAAGTGGTGGTTTGCTTTATTATAACTTTATGTAAACAACTGTGATCATACAGCACACCTCACAAAGAAAAAACGTCACCGGAGCATTTCCACGCCCTTAAAACAAGACGACCACCAGTACAAAAGAAGCACCTTTTCCCTTTAAAGCTGAGAACAGCTGCTTCTGCAGCCACTAGTTCTGACTAGTGGGTCTCCGTTTAGACCACTTCTAAACACTGCTGCAGCCTAAAAACAGGAATTCCATTGTAATCTCCAACATTTTCAACAAATTAACAGATCGTTTTGCACGTGTTGCTGGATTTTTGACAGTGGAGTAAAACAAAGAATAAATCCCGCTTCAGTGTCCATCTAGAATTAAAGATCAAGATCAAGGAGACGGTCTCACAGATAAATGGAACTGTAAGAATAAAAGTTAGTTTGGACTTTATTCTTGGAAATGTTTCACAATACACACACACACGCACGCACGCACGCACGCACGCACGCACACACACACACACACACACACACACACACACACACACACACACACACACACACACACACACACACACACACACACACACACACACACACACACACACACACACACACACACACACACACACACACACACACACACACACACACACACACACACACACACACACACACACACACACACACACACACACACACACACACACACACACACACACACACACACACCTGGACAATCCAGGGGCTGTTGGAAAAGGCCATGATGTGTCTCTCCTCCCAGAAGAAGGCCGAATCTGACCTCTTGATCATCTCAAACTTGCTGAGCTGCTTCATGGCGTAAACCTTCTGAGATGCTTTGTGACGGACCTGCAAGGGGGGGATGGGGGGTTGAAAGAGGAGAGTCGAGACTTGATAAGGACAATAGACTAAGATGGGAAGCTGTAAAGGCCTGTAAAGGGCATGCTCACACACGATTTTAGGCACACACGCTTGTGTCCCTTCACTCCCCCACACAAGACATCCTCTGGGCGTGCGCACACACACACACACACACACACACACACACACACACACACACACACACACACACACACACACACACACACACACACACACACACACACACACACACACACACACACACACACACACACACACACACACACACACACACACACACACACACACACACACACACACACACACACACACACACACACACACACACACACACACTGTCTAGACTTGTTCCGACAACTAAACGCTCGTCAGACACAAGCAGCAGACAAACGACTCAAAAACAAGCACTCGGGAATTTGATCATCATCTAAAAATCTCTAAAATGTTCAGTCTTAAGTGTAAAATTTAAATGTTTCTTCTAGATGTTTGCTCCCTCTGGTGGTTTAAAGCAGACCTGGTGTTTTGGGTCTAAACAGTTCAATTCAAGAACAGGTGGAGAAACTAAACACCGAGGCGTTTCCCCACAACAAACATGCTGTTAGGAGTTACTGAAGAGGAACAATCCAACATTTATTTAGAGAAGTCTTACCAGCTGCACTTCTCCATAAGCTCCTCTCCCGATTAATTTCACCTTCTCAAAGTCTTCAAGCTTCACCTGCAGCTCCTGCAGCTCTTTCACCACCTTATCATCTGCAGGCAAAACATGTAAAATCTATTTATAAGCAAAGAGGTACAGTGGATAACTGTAAGGTCAGAAAAAATACACAATAAACTCTTTTTGAGATTATGGAAGCTGTGATAGAAAATACAAGCATTCTGGCTAATTATCAGTTATTATTCAAGCATATTAGTTCACAAATGATGGAATGTCAGCGTGCAGCATTCACACTTGCATGCAGACATTTGAGCAGCTAAAATCTGCTTAGGAACTCGTTCATTTAAAGGTGCATTATGTAGAAATGAAGTAAAATTACATCCTGTGGTAAAATTTAGTTAATGCAACCACTTTAAACAACTCTGGAGCTTTATGCTGGCCGTCGTCAAATTACAGTCGTCGGCGCTGCAGGAGACATGGCAACCCCACACTCACTGATGGTAAACAGTTACGTCCCTCTTATTTTGTTTTGAAAGGAGAAAAACTGATAATCCCCGCAGCCAGCTGGATGTGAAATATGCTTCAGTTTAACCTTCCTTCCAAAATGACTGAAACATTAGACTCTTTTGGGATTTGCTCACTGTAGAATTCTCACTATATTCTTACATACTGAACCTTTAATCTTACAAATACTTTCAGTTTCCCAATTCTTATAAAGATAACTAAAAGCAAACATGGCCAGAACTGGCTTTAATTTAGTATTTATTTATTTATATTTGTATAGTTAATTAGGTTAAATGTTGGTTTTATTAAATTAAATAGCGCTTGCATTCCTTTTTTAAGGTGGAGATCTTACATCTGTTCAGAAATGACTCGATGTTCTTGTTTTTTCTCAGGATGGGATAGTTGAGGTCATGGGCCAAGGCGTTCATGGAGTCCTGACAGACAAAACACACAAGAAACATTTTATTGACAAGAAAGTAAAGAAAACACAAAACAACCCACAAAAAAAATTCCTTCAAGTTATTGAGTCATTTAGAGTTTTGTTATTTGCACATTTACAGAAACAGGAACATTACTAAAGCATTAATCAACGTTAAAGGGCTGATGCGGTTTTAGTTGTCTTGTGCTGTTCAATAATTTGTCAGGACAAATTTCTACAAGATGCACAATCACGACTTCAATCTGGGTGATAACATTAAATGCTTTCATATATATATAATATATAATAAAAATAAAAGGTGGTGGTTTAAAAATACGCACATCTTCTGCAGAGGTGGTGTCCACTCATGGCCCTACAGGGCCACCATCCTTCATGTTTTGGAGGTTCCTCTGCTCCAACACATTTAATGAAATCAGTAAGTAACTAACAGTTCAGCAGAGGTTGATGACCTGCTGAACATGACATTTAGCCACTAAATCAGGTGTGTTGGAGCAGCCCAAAAGGACAAACACAGAACCACGGTTTTCAAAATTAAGATAGTCTTTGTTGAGAAATGGTGGCGCTGCAGCCTTTTTCTAAATTTGATATGGTCTTGATCGTAAAAGGGGAGAATGCCTACTCCAGGTCTGGGACGACTAATGGAAGTATCCCAGGGTATTGAGTTCAAGAGTGAGGGAAAGATGAAGATCACGACCGACAGGCAGATTGGTGCTGCATCTGCAGTGATGTGGGAGTTGTACCGGTCTGTCATGGTGAAGCGAGAGCTGAGCCAGAAGACGAAGCTCTGGATTTACCAGTTGATCTGCATTCCAACACTCATCTATGGTCGCAAACTTTTTGTAGTGACCTAAAAAGTATGAGGCCAAACTTTCTCTGCAGGGTGTCTGGGCTCCCCCTTAGAGATAGGGTGAGATCCTGGGTCATCCGGGAGGGGCTCGGAGTAGATTTGCTGCTCCTACTCATCAAGAGGAGTCAGTTGAGGTGGCTCGGGCATTTGTTAGGAGTCCTCCTGGACGGCGCCTTGTTGAGGTTTTCCGGACATGTCCAACCGGGAGGAAACCTGAAAGACGACCCAGGACACGCTGGAGGGACTATGTTTTTCATCTGGCCATGGAACACCTTAGGATTCCCCTGGGGGAGCTGGCCCAAGCGGCTGGGGAGCAGGAAGTTTATATCAAATCCCGTCTGGTGGTTCATAAGCACATTAGCTAAAATTGCAAAGAACATGAAAGCAAAAACATTATAATGTGCTGCTTAGAGGCGAAATATGAGGTAATTAAACAATAACGGGACTCATGAAGATGCAATGTGGCCAGCTGTCCAAACACCAACAGGCCAGTTTGAGTCAGACACACAAACTCATCCCTGTGCCTCAGCACAGAGGGGCAGCAGCTACATCTGACATCTCAGTTGTGTCATCTGCATTTAAATAACAAATATCGGGTTTCATGTGGATCCAAAGTGTCTCTGTGGTCCAAACTGGCAGGTATAGCCGTGGATGGGTGAGTTAGCATGCAGTGACCCTTTATTCCACCTAACAGAAGGTCAAGTTGAGTCATTTACCATGTGCGTCTCTGGATAAAGACTTCCCCGAGGGATCTATCGGTCTGTTTGTTCGAGGACATGTGGGTGGGTGGACGGTGACACGTGGAACAATCCTACGCCTTTAAATAGCAGCGGTGAGAAAAAGATACCCTCACCCCTAAATAGACCTAAAAGGCTCAGAAGCTATTGTGGGACAAACAGCTTAGAGAGAGAGGGGCTAGAATGCTCTAAAGATCTGTGATCGTTTTACACAGTCTGAACATGTGCTTCTCCTGTTACATGGCAGGTCACTGCAGGGTGGGGAGAACTGGTTCAGGGAGTCCACGTGATCTAAAACCATTTAAATACAATCTAACTCTGACAGATAAATAACAAGCATCTGGAGTCGGCTGTGAGTGGGTGTTTGTGACTAAACCCTACATCTGCTGAGGCAGCTTCAGATAGGATAGAAAACTGTTCTAGTCTGAAATGTCGATTTTCTTGTTTTGGTGAAAAAAAATGAACTGATCATGTGTTGGGTGACTTGCTTTGATCTAAACCAGCAGCCTACATGTCGTTAAACCCATTGCAGCTCCCTGTGGTAGTGGTAATTCCCTGTTCTAGTGGAGTAATGTTCCCCAACAGACTGCACAAGCCGCTCAGGATTGTTTCCATGAACAAAACGAGGAGCCCGAGGTACAAACCAGGTCTCTTGGCTCCCCAGATCCTGATCTGAAAGGGAATCTGCAGAGAAAGCCTGTTGGGGAACCAGTCTGCAAAACTAGACTCAAATGTACCAGCGTCTCGACTCCAAAACCAGGGGACACGTAGCCCAATCTCAAAAAGCTCCAAATGGATTCTCCAATTTGTTAAACATTAATGTTATAATAGTTTCATGATACTCCAAAGATTATGTAGATATTAGATTTGTGTATTCCAACAACAAAATGAGACTTTTGGGTCTTTAAGTGACCACTGTTCTGCAGGTTGTTGTTTTCTTATTGCAACACACCTAAAATAACTTTCTCATATGTCAATCTGTTTTAGATACACTTTAAACACCCCCCCCCCCCCACCCCCCCATCTATATGGGTGACCCCGCGAGGAAAGTTGACCACTGAGCAGGACTGATGGTTTATCCCTTGAGGTCCACGTGGCAGGGGTGAGGTGGTGCTCACTCGTCAGCCCTGCCACATGGACCCAAAGGATAAACCATCGACCCTGCTCATTGGTCAACTTTCCTTATGGGGTGACACTCACTGGGACAGTGGGAGGGTTATAGCTGCAATAGCTAATCTGCAAACAAGCTAGCTTTTGACACGGTCACAGAAAACTCACTTTTCCTCAGATATCATTCCTGGACCTTCTTTGCCAGATCCAGAAACCTGCATTGCCAGAGGAAATGAGAGACCGCTAAACACCAGTCACCGTTTTCTGGGTCCAAACGTCTTTTGTTGTTCGTGAAGTCAAATGGTGTTTTTCTTTTTGGGACTCTGGCAGTTTATCGTAATGCTAACAGAGGCTACGCAATCATGGACTGATGGTGACTTGACTTGGGTGCTACTGGGCTTGTAAGTAATAATAATTTAGTCCAACAGGGTGGCTCTTTTTACTCCGTGGCTTATTTAGTGTATGTTGGCCGTTGTTGGTGCTAGCTCGTTGTTAGTGCTAGCTACTGCGGCAGGGTTGTTTACAACAGTTGTAATTCCACTTTCAACCAGTAGGAGAAAGAAGTGGGGAACTTATTAAGTGCTCATTTTAAAAATGACTTAAAGTATAGTAACTTCTCATAGCCTTTAATCTAAGCGGACTTGTTTCTACAGCCCTTACAGGCCTTTAGGCAGACAGCAGTTGTAAGTCCATGTTAGCTACACTCATTCTAAATGTTTTTACTGGAAATCATGCAATCTTCACAAAAAATCTTGAAGCAAGCATCAGATAGAGATGAGAGGTAAGTCCGATGCTCTAACATTTCTATTAGGGAATGTTGGCTTACATCAACAGGAAGCATGAGTGTCTGTGCATATTTGGAAGGAAATTTTTAAGTAAATCAAAACCAACCAGACAATTCTCTTGAGCTTAATCACTAAGAGTTGGTGAGGTCCATGCAATGCAACCAACATTATTGCAGCAAGGATCGTGTAATTTCATCTCCTGTTTAGGTCATCAATGAAGTCATCATGTTTAGCATCTTTTAAGCAAACGGTCCTGCTTTACTTGAATGACAATTAACATCTTATTGCCCCAAAACTCATTTTTATGGTCCACCAGATTGTGGAAGTCCTCCCTGTGAGCATGAAGAACTACAGCAGAAAAAATAAAAGACACAAGAAGTCACACAATTAAAAAGACAGATAAAGGATTAAATAATTTTCCAGTTAGAAATAAAAACAAATAGATCCAACTTGTTTAATGATCTCTGGAATTTGGACAAATCTGAACACGATCCGGTGGCTTTGATCTGAGTCAGACACTTCCTCCTTCCCAAAAGCACGGCGAACTGAAATCATCAGGGAGAAGCACCGGATGTGTGCTGGGATAATCTAGCTCCATAAAAGAGACCTGCCTCATATTGTTCACCAACTACTCATTCTTTGTAAAGACCCGACGGCCAAGTGTTCAACAGCTGAACAATTCAGTCAGTCATTGTTCATCAGAACAAGAAAGAAAAGAAAAAGTGTCAAATCATTAGCCATAAAATAAACACATTCAGACACTGGCCACGAGCTAACTGCAACATGCTGACTGATATGCTTAAATTAATTTCTTTAATTTCATTAAAATTTTACATTAATATAAAAACAAATTGTGTTTAGCAGAACTTTCTGCATCCACACCGAAACAATTACATTTTTTATTCCAAGGAGCTAATTTGGCTTCTTTGTTTTGAATATTTATAAAAAAAATTCAAAATTAATAATTATTTTCCCATTAATTCAGGTAAAGCAGACATTTTGAGAAAAACTGGAAAATTAATATAAATTAGAGCCACTGATTTGATATGATTTTAGCAGCTGAACAAAAAAGCCATCATTCCCTTTATCATTTATTTTATATTATTCAGGTTGTGTCACTAACTGGCTAATTTCTTCTTAAATAATTTCTTTAACCAACTTTATGATCAGAAATTCTTCAGGTAATCAATATTCAAAATGCCTCAATAAAAGTGTTTTAGTAACGTGATTTTGTAACCTTTATTATTCTCTACAAGACAAAAAACAAACCCAATCTGTTTTTTTTCTCACCCAAAACAAAAATTGTGGACAAACAGGAAAATGTGCCATGAGGTCATGACAGGTTTTCTCCAACTCAATACCAGGAAGTTACACCAGCTTCCTGTTTGGAAGCTCTCTGGATTAGGAAGCATGGTGGTCTTTATTTCAACGGCAGAACCGCTTCAGGAGCCAGACAAAGACGACTAATACTGAAAAAGATGACCGGTGGCTCTAGGAGGGACATAATCCATAATTTGTTGTCTGTTTATGCAACAGAAGCTTTACTTGACGTGTGAGTCACCGGTGCTGAAAATAGATCCGATCCTCTCACCCAGCAAACGGCTCTTCCTTATGATCCATAAGGAAAACGAGTTTGACTCCTCCAGATACGGCCTCAGCAAAGGAGCCGCCATCGGTGGATTTCAGTTAATACCAAACCTCACTGGTAAATGGCCTGTGTTTGTACAGTGCCTTCTTAGGGTTCTACAACCCCACAAGGCGCTTCACAACTCAATCAGTGTTTCACACATCCACACACACACGTTCACATGCTGGTGATGATGAGCTATGAGGTAGCTACAGCTGCCCTGGGGCGCACTGACAGAGGCGAGGCTGCCAAGCACTGGTGCCACCGGTCCCTCCGACCACCAGCAGGCAAGGTGGGTTAAATGTCAGAGCCAGGATCGAACCTGCAACCTTCTGATTACTGGATAACCCACTCTACCTCCTGAGCTACTGAGTGAATGTTTTAGATCTTTTAATTCAAAATGAAGTCAAAACCCAGCCAGCATGCATAGGTGGGACGGGTATGGATATATATGGGCAAACAGGGTTTGTCTGAGGTTTCGTGGTGCCCACATAGATATTAGTAAGCCCGTGTTAAGAGTCAAACCCACAGGAACCATTCAAATCTATACTGGCAAACCCCTGTGGGGCCAAAATGGAAACAAGAGGACAAACCCTGTTGGTACCCATATGGTTTGCCCATATATATGAGGCCCAAATACGCATGCTGGCTGGGAGTTTGCCTGGACTGGTCGAGATGAAGAAAAAAGATCTCTGTGGAACAAGTGGTAAAGTTATACAAGAAGACCAGGAATCTAGGCTTCAGGCCTGCGTGGAAACCTTTACATCTATTTATTTTAGTCATCTATTATGTTTGGAAACCACACCAATAAGGCTGTGTTATTGCCTACTGCAATTTTTTATTTACAGGTTCATTGTTTTTGGGGATTAACGCTCCTTATCCATGTAAACCACCTTACATCATTACACATCCCCTATCATGTTAAAGTCTTGTAAAGGGGCAGTGTTAAATTCCACAAAGGAAAAGTGGCTGAACATTGAGTTTAGGTGGGGCTTTCCTCTGATTAGGAACCAGCTAACACGTCTTGGAAAAACCCACGCTATGTCCTTCAGAACAGAAGAAAACACAAATAAATTCATCTTGTACCTACATTTTCTATTTGTTTATCATTGCCCCAGACTTGTCCTTTCAAGTTCATCCGTCTAATCTGCTGATTGTGCCAGAATGATGACTCAGAAATATGCATGGAGCTCATTTATCTCACGCCAGTACCTATGTCAGAACCCCCCGGGACATGTGCGCACTCACCAACAGGGCTTCCAAGTTTAGTGGCGACTGAGGATTCTTCATTGTGGACTCCAGCGTCTCCAGCCGGCTCTCCAGTCTGCTCTCCGCTCCCAGCATGGCTACAGCGAGGCGAATCCAGTTCAAATGACATTAAAAACGCTCCAAACAAATATTAAAAAACACCTGGAGGTCTGCTTTCTTCCTGGCGGTGGAGGCGCACTCCTCTCTCCAGCGCCTCCGCTCAGCTCCTCATATCTGCTGTCTTCTTGGACGCCAGGGTGGCTGATCAGGTTAATTATTTACCCACAAACAGTGTAAACAACCCCAAACCTCCTACCTTTTAATTAACTTCTTCAAGGAACGAGAAAAAAATATGTTTCGGTATTGAGCGAAGCGCACCTTCCCCCCTCCCCCAGATGCGCGCCGTCGGCGCCAACAGGTAGCTTGGCAAAATCCTATCAAACCGCTGGGTGTCCAACCTGTGTGTGTGTGACACACTACTGTTAAACTCCAACACACACACACACACACACACACACACACACACACACACACACACACACACACACACACACACGCAGATAATCCACTTCCTGTTTAAACTTTCAAAATAACAAGCCAACTGGTTTCCAGGCTGAATGTTGCGAAAGGCATTAGAAATGGAAGCTTCATTTAATTTCTTAAAATAAACATGAAACAGTCCGTGTGAATCACTGGTTTAAGATTATTTCTATACAATAATCTGTAATCCATTATATATATATATATATATATATATATATATATATATATAAACTCTAAAAATTTAGAAAATATAATAATGAAATATATATGACAAATAAAATTAAAAAGTACAATGCAATTTATTAATTAGGAGCAATATGTTGTAATTAAAGTGATAGAATAAGAAAATAAAAACAATTCTATTATCATTAACTTTTATTCAGACATTCCCAATGTTTTTCATTTTCATTTTTATTTAGTAGTTTTCTTCCGTTAACTTAAGTTTATACTTCAATCAAATAAAACGTTTTCCATATTTTGATGCTTTTATTTGACAGGTTTTCTCACATCCGGTAGAACCCTGGCAGATCACATGCAACCTAACAGAAATTTATCCCGACACATGACCATGCATGGTCACCAATTATTTTCTTCAACGGTAAGATTTGGTCTTTATAAGATTTCCATAATTTTTTTTCGTTAAAGGAAATAAAAAGTTTAATCCCAAACAGTTCCATATCACTGCGCAGAGACTGCGTCCACAAAGCCGGAATTCCTGCTCTCTTATCTCATCGGTTTACCGTCACTGGATCAGAGGCAGGACTAACTTTCAGCATTTTAGGAATGTTGACGCTCTACTTTCAGACGTGCTGCCACTATTAATAGGTCAACAAACTGTATTTTTTAATCCGCTCAAGTGGTTTTGTGTGTTTTATTTCATACAGTCAAAATAAAAACACGTAGATTAAAAAAAGATTAAAAAGAAAAACAGCATGTTTTTCGCTCTTAGAATAACTTTTATTTATTTTACTTTACAAAGTGATTTCAACCAAAATTCTTGGTAACAATACAAACAATCTGACAGGCTAAATTATAAAGGGAAGCCAGACTTTTATACATTATATTCTACACAACATGTTTTCTTGATAAAATTTTATTGTCACGTGAGAAATGGCAGCAACTTGAGGGAAATAAAGTAAAAATACAACAATGGCAGTTTGTGGTGATGCAATTTTGGCATTAGATGGGAGAAGTAGTTGATGACATAGCAGGTTATTTATCTGAAGTGATGTCATTATTGAATCACATGAGCTGCTGATGGAGTCCTCTTGCCGTCTGAGGGTGACACTGTCATAAACGCATGACCTGTGGTGATAAGGACTGGAATACGTGCGGAGATGGTGTTGTGGGAGTGCACACAAAGGCAAATACTAGTTGGTTTTGGAATGGCGGTGGGGTCAGAACTTAAAAAAGTCAAGTTCAATTAAATTCTAAGAACTTTTGATGGCAGCTTTTTAAAATTAAAAATGAAAGAAATTTAGAAATATGAGAGTCAGAGTACTCAATTCAGCACAGGATGACAGATAAATGGCACTGAATGCATTATGTACAATGGGCAGGTGCAAAGTAACACAGTCAAACACTGCCCCCTAGTGGGCATGCAGTATATAAACACAAAAAACAAAGGGCACTGAAGGAGGGCTTTTAGCAAACATTATAATAATAATAAAAAACAAAGAAGAAAAAATGTAAATGACAAAAGCATTTTTGTGAAAATCTATAGATTCTTCATCCATAAGTTATTATAACATCAAATATTGTCTGTGTAGAGTAACTAGAAACATGGGACAAGTGCTGACAAGTCCCAAAGTGATCCGTCTGGATTTAGGAATCCCCACCTGTAATACTGATCACTGTATGCTACAGCATTTGATGCTTTTGTGTAAAATACCACACCTGGTAATATTATACGTCTGATCTTTTCATTTTCGTAAACCAGAGCCGAAAACATTTAGCAAAAAAAAAAAAAAAAAAAAGAAAATCTGGATCAGTTACACTGTCATGTCTGAAGCGAGTTCTAACATGCATGGCACTCGGTGCTACAGGTCATTCTGATTTCTGATGTTTGGTTGACACAGCTGATCTGCAAACCACTCTTTTACATACCAGCGTTGCAATGACGATTAGTGATCTTGGATATTTAGAATTTCTCCGGATCCTCATAGGTGTTCAGGAGAAAACCGAACGTCTCCTCGGGAATTCTGTAAACACAGTGAAAAACTTACCCAAGGATAGAGTTTTCCTCCACGCAGTTTTCTCTCAGACTGGCAAATTTCAGGTGATCACTTGTGAGGGATAGAGTGCACTGTATTTATATTGGGCGTATAAGCGGAGGAGAAAAGGCTATACTATATTCCTGGCTGCTGCCCAAAATAATTTTAAAAAGCTCCTGAAGTCTGAGCCCCAATCGGCCAGGTAACCCAAAACCTGGAGAGCGGGAGTCAGTGTGGGATATGAGGAGAGGAACAATGTGGCTCTTTGTGCAAAAGCTGGGCAGAGAAAACAAACCGTTTCCCCTGGAAAGAGATCATGTTCAGGCTCCATCTGAGAAGACCACACAAGGCTGATCAGAGCGCTGTCTGATGCGTTGAGCAAGGAGAGGAGGAGTAGGAAGAGGAGGAGGAGCAGCCGCACTAACTTGTACTCACATAAACGCTTGAGGGCAATGTCAGACAAGATGAGGCTCTGAGTGGCTCCCTGTCAAGCGCCCACTGAGCTCAGCGATACGTTTTGGTCCAGAATGTGTGGCTGTGTTGTGCGTTCTTCTTGTGCGATGTTGACCTGTGATGACTCGGCCATCTGGACTGCTTCCTGGGTTGGCGCCCTGCTGGTTGGTACAGGCAGAGCAACGCCTACGGCTGAGGGGCAGGCTGGAGGATGATCGCACTGGTGTCATTCAGCTGATGTCCAACAGGGAGTCTGTTAAGTTGGTGGGGATCAGACGGGATGGAAGAGCAGAAAAACAGAAAGGAAACATTATAGATCCTGAGTAACTTTGATTTCTTCCATATCTTATATCAACCTCTCCCGCTCTGGACACTCATTCCTTAATCCACCCATTCCACATAAACACTTAGAAGGAGGCTTTTAGTCATGTCAACACTCAGATAACTGCTGCAAAGGGTGCAATCAAACTCAAAACATCTGGCGTCTCCCCTCTCCCGTACACAGACTTTCATTCAAACACACGTCTTAAACACAAACACACACGTAAGGGCCAAACCAGGGTTCTGTACTCCCTCTGTCCCACTGAGTTTCAGTTTCAAACGCTCAGCGAATACCCATGTGGTGGGGTCAGGTTACACGGAGCTATAAAATATCCCAAATAAAGGCAAGGAAAAATGAGACCAAAAAAAAAAAAAAAGGAAAAAGCAGCTTTTTCATGAAGTAAGATCCTCCACTTGGCTGCTGAATCTGTCGGGGTGGGAGAATTTTTATACATTTTTATTTTTTAAGACATTTCTTAACAGTGTGGACAATAGAACAGGACAGCAAAGTTCAGCTCAGAGGACAGAGGTGACAAAGCTAAACTTATTCACATATAGCAGCCAGGTCCTGTTGCAAAGGGTCTAAAATCCATTTTCATGACAAAAAAGATATCATGCAATGCTCAAGGGCTACAATCGTCTATTTTTTGCTCATTTTAAATATATTTTTAACCATTTTCTAAATTCTTTTTTATATTTTTACATTTTTTGTTTTTGTGAAGGGCCTCGTGATTTTTATCTTGAGAGGCGCTATAGAAATGATATTTTCTCCTTCTCCTTCTCCTTCTCCTTCTTCTTCTTCTTCTTCTTCTTCTTCTTCTTCTTCTTCTTCTATCACAAAGAAACCAAAACGTCTGGGGTGCAAGATGAAGATTTATAGGCAGAATCACATTTTAACAGGAATATTAACATGACCCCTGGCCTTTTTGAGAGGAATATGGAGAGAAAAACAGGCGGGTTGAAACCCAAACCACCTCTGTAATATCAGCAGATTAATCTCAGCACATACAGTAAAACAGAAACTCGATCTTTTTATGGTGAGATACCAGCAGGCAAGGGTGACGGGTGGTGTTACAGCTATTTAGACTAACAGGCAAAACCTAGAAGACTTTTGATTGGTCAGAGGTAACGAGATCTTCCTGATGCATCCGAACATCAAACACGTCTGTTTGGCAGTGGACAAGAGTTAGGGTTAGGGTTACAAGTGGGAAAGACCAACCAAATTCAAGAACGGGTGTCATTATGAAACTGGATCACTCCGACTTGCATTTATTAACAAAGCCAAGTTTAGCTAGATCTACTCGACAATGCAACTCAAAAGATGTCTACCTTGCGACTCAATCAGCCTCTGTGAAGGTCACAATTTAAACAGCACCTTGCATCTTTTTCTCCACGGCTTTAATGCTCACCGCCATTTGATACATCGCGAGCGGCTCTCTTGAGAGTAGGAGCTTGTTTATGAAAATATGAAATTCTTTAATTGCATTTTAGCAGAACATACGTTGGCCAATCTGAGCCAGAGAAATAGGCAGTCAGGCAGACAAAGCATTGTGACTGGCAGGCTGTGGTGAGGTGATTGCCTTTCAAAGTGACTCTCATTGCTTGTGCCCTCCGCCTCCTTCCCCTGCTGTAACTTAAGAGGGCTGAGAAGTGCCAGGTTACCGGGATTCTCTTCGTTTGGCGCCATGCTGTTTAGGGGCCGCGCACATACAGCAAGAGCAGTGATTAGTCTTGCCCTACGTGCGTGAATATACCCATTTTTCCCAAGTCATCATTAAGGCACAAAGCAAAAAGCCAGTAAAAGCTATTTTTCATGACATTTTATAAGAATATCTCACCTCCATCCTCTATTTATTCTGGTCTCGGATTCGAAGGCACCGCCTCTTCAGAGCTGGCTCCATATCCCCCGCGCTGGGTATGTTGGCAGGACCCCGCAAGCTACCCTTGTCCCTGAGTTTGGGCAAGAGTAAGGGAGGGGTGGTCCCACCAGTTTTTGGAGCTGTGGGCAAGGCATAAGCATGGTCCTCATCTAGAACATGAGGGTCCTCTCCCACATCCCCATCTACTGTTAAGGGTCCTTCTAACTGACAGACGGGTCTCTCAGCCGGGTTAACAGCAGAGCACTTATTTTCTTTGATAGCCTCCAGCTCACTAAGCGAAGGGTCTTGGGTTGGTGCTGGTCGTAGAGAAGTGTCCATACTAACAGGTGTGGATGAGGAGGATGTGCCATTTTGAGGACAGTCCTGAGTTGTCAGAACAGAGGAGTGGCTGCTTTCCGTGGGGCTTGGTGGGGTCTGGCAAGGTGGAGTGTTGGAGTCCTGATGTTGGTAGACAGTGTCCTGTGAAGGGGATTGTGCTAAAGGAGGGGCTGGTTTGATGACATTGTGGAGCCCTGATCTGTTAACTTGCCCAGATCCTGACTCCCACAGTCCTGATGGGTCTCCCATTCCATTGGCACTTGGCTCCACCTTTACTTGGGTTCTTTGAAGAACCCTTTGGATGACTTGTCGCTCTGTCTGTGTCTGCTTATAGTCTGTCAGCTCCTCTGAATCTGCTCTGGGGGAGGATGCTTTACTTTGAGATGTAAATGTTGGAGACAGAAACTGCCTCTCTGATTTAACCCAATCTAAGTCCCTTGAGTTAGACTCACTTGGTGAAGTGAGGCTTCGAGAAAGGTTTGCACCCAATTTGTTGGCATCTGATCTGCTGTCTTCAAAGACGACGGGGGATGGTGGCCTTCCTGTTCTAGATCTACTCCTGTCTAACCCTTCTGGCACAGGCTGGATAACTCCGCAGTGACTTGGAGTGTCAAGGGCTACTTTGGGAGGGACTGCAATTGGAATCGGAATGGGTATGGGGACAGGCAAGGGAACGATAATGGGGTAAGGCACCAAGACGGTGGGTTGGGGCAGAAGAGGACTAAAAGAAGGAATACCAAAATTCATTATGGGAGGTACTGGAACAGGACCTCTTGGCATAATGTTCAGTGGAGGGGAGTGCAAGCCAGGGAAATATGCTCCTGGGAAGGGATGCATGAGTCCAGGGGGATTCATGGAAGTAGATGTGGAGGACTGTAGGTGTGGAGAGTGTGTGGGTCTGTGGATAGGGCTAGAGGCTGGGCCTGAATGTCTGGGAGGATTGGAAAGAGGACTTTTTAGGCCTTGAGCATGAAGAGGGGGTCTGATGAAGGGTAAGGGAATTTGAGGTAACGGTTTCTGATCCATGTGTGGGCGAGGAATAAGTGGAGGAGGAAGGGGAGAAGCATGGGACAACATCTCTGCTGTAGAAGGCAGTGGGGGTGGCTGGATGGATCTCTCCAGAGTCCTGAGCCCTGACACGGAGATTTTTGAAGAAGAGGAAGAAGAAGATGGTGCTTCTGAGGAGGAGACAGACGTGGATTCTACTGTCCCGTGAACTGATGCAGATGCTTTAGGCGAGGCATTTCGGTTTCGTGATTCTCCAGGATTGTTGCTGTTGTTCCAAGACTCAGGAGTGAGTAACTTCTGCCCGACCACGCTTCCGTCCACCCTCCCTTCCTGACTGGACCTGCTTGGGCTGGAACTGGTGCTGGTGAGAGCTGCACGGGCTTCTCGGTAGAAGACATCCATCTTGTACTGGTTTAGACATTTGACGCTGCAGAACTGAAGTCGTTCCTCTCCAGATCCAAAGTCCAGGTACTCTTTAGTATGCCGAATATGCTTGCACCAGTCACAAACCTGCGGTACAGGCGAAAGAGACTGTAGGGGGTAAATAAAGCATCAGACTCTTGTGAAAGAAAAACAGACTTTTTAAAAGATTTTCTTGCAAATTTAAAACAATGCCATTTCATGCATATGTCAACGGTTTCTACTGGGCAACAGAAGGAACATTGATGGCATCTCCTTACTCTGACACTGGTGTTTATCTTTAACACCAGTCGGGGTGAATCCTCTGGATGTGGGTGCTGAGGAGATCTCTCAGCATGGAGGTCTTCATCTCTGGCCTGACAGGGGAAAACCACAGTGTGACAAACACGCCATGCCGCTGTCAAGCAGCTCAGCCTGTAACTCTACACTGGAATCATTGTGTGGTCATTAAACCAAACACGAGCTTCTTATATAACTCGCACAAAAAATAGTTACAACTGAATTTCCTTGTCTTGAAGTGGCTTGAACTTGATGCATAGTAAAAAAAACTCACAGAGGTCAGCAAAACAAACAGAACATTGATATTTTTCTGTAACCAAGATGATGTATTGTTTTAATATTTATGCTTAAGAGTAAAATAAGGAAATTACTCGTGATTTGTGTTAGCTGATCTGCTGTGGATCTGAGTGCCCCCCCCCCCCCCCCTTCTCTGTGACCCAGCTAGTCGTATTGAGTTACGAAACATGAGGCAGCTGAAGGTAAGGTATGCACTGAAAGTGGACACCTCGCCCCAGGCCTTCTGGCCTTCCTCTCAGACAAGCAGGAACAAGCCGACAGAAATGCTTTTCTCCCCGCCTTCGAAAACTATGGGGCTTGTTGTGCACCTCCTGCTTGGCCTTATCTGTGTTTTTCCGCTTATAAAACCCCAAAACAAAAATAGACACATGCTTTTGTCAACCTGCTCCTCTAAAGATGGTGTGGTCGTGCAACAATGGAAGGTGAATAATCACCATGTGCATCAGAGTGTCTCTGTGTAGTTACAGCTTCCCTGTTCTCCAGACCAAAGCCACTTAATGGCCCCTTCTGCATTAACTTGAAACTGATACTAAGTGTCCTGAACAAAGTTTGACCTTCCTCCCATCGATACTGAACTGCCTCCTTCACGCCAACTAGAGGAGGTGTTTTTTAGACTCCTTCCTTTTCAAATTTGTGCAAATGCATCAATCACTTATAACCTGATAAGATCAAACGCATTAATGTTTGCAGACTGCTGCTGCAATCTTTGCAAATAATATAAATACTGCAATAAAATAAAGGTGGCACTGCATCAACTATCTGGTGAGTGGAACTGGCCAATGTTCAGGATGACAAAACTTAATCTGAATTGTCAAAATTAGATTTTTTTTTGGTGAATGCATAATTTCCAAGCAGCAATAAAAAGCAATTTTCCTGGTACATGACCTCACTCTGACTAAGCTAGCTAATAATGCAATAACAACATCCCAACTGGAATAACTTATTTACATTCGTTCGTTAATTTTCCTTCGCTTTTCCGAGTCGGGGTAGTAGCATCTCAAGTAGGGCATCCCAAACAGCCGTCTCCCCAGCCACCTCCACCACCTCCTCCTGTAGGACCCCAAGGAATTCCCGGGCCAGATTGGAGATGTACTTGCTCCAACATGTCCTGGGTCAACCTGGAGGCATCCCCGAAACACCACCCTAGGAAGGCGTCTAGGTGGCATCCTAACAAGATGCCAGAACCACCTCAGCTAGCTCCTCTTGATGCGGAGGAGCAGTGGCTCGAATCCGAGTCACTCCATAATGTCCGAGCTTCTCACCCTATCTCTATGGCAACCTTCCAGAGGAAACTCACGTCGGCCACTTCTTTCAGCGATCTCATTCTTTCGGTCATTACCCAAAGCTCATGACCAGGTGAGGGTTGGGATGTAGATCGACCAATAAATTAAGAGCTTTACTTTCTGGCTCAGCTCCTTCTTCACCATGACAGACCAGTTCAGCATCCGCATCACTGCAGATGCTGCCCCAATCCGCCAGTCGATCTTCTTTCTTATTTACAAAATGATGATTTTTAATCAAAGCAGGAATTTTGTAATTTTTTCTTCTTTGAGACCTTTTAAAAAAGTATTTTCATTGATCATCTCAGAGGTGTGTGTGTGTGTGTTCTGTGTCCGGTAGCTGAGTCAGTTACAGTTTAATTAATGTCTTGTCAAAGTGTTTCTGTTGGACCTGTTTTCCCCCTTCCTTTAGCTGCTCACAGGGGCCTCTAGTGGGTGAGAACCCTAAAGCTTGGTTTATGCTTGACGCATTTACTTTCCGCTTGGTGATGCGGCTCGCGGATGGAACGCGCTTCACAACTTGCAGCGTTTATGGTTCATGCGGCTCATCTCTGCGGTGAGCCAATATTCTCCCAAACTGTAGGGGGCAGCATGGAGCTCTACGGCATGCATCCAACACTACACCATAGTAGAAGTAAAATTTACTGTTGTTTACAACATGGCATTCCAGCATTTTTAACAGCGTCCTCGTCTTTTCCGACAGTGCGAGCTATTTCTCTCCAAGAATTATTAATAACATGTTGATCACGGTGATCTTTGAGAGCTGAATCATACAAATGTCTGTATTTACGAACCTCTGCCATACTAGTTCTTGCCGGTCCGCCATGTTTTTCCGCGTCCGACCGTCCGCGTGATTAGAAAGTGTCCTAGGTGCGCGGTGCGGAAATTTTGGGCCGTGCGGAAGCGCGGCGGAGGGGCGTGGTTGTTAAAATGATGCAATTTTGCCGCTCTGAGCCGTGCGGACCTCACGGACGCGTCAAGCACAAGCCCCTGATGATCACTGGATAATCTGGCCATAATATGGAGACTTACTCATTAGCATTCAGGATATTTGGACCTCTCACCTCTGATTACCTAACAGCAACACAACTTTTCCACCGCCTTTGTTAGTTCTGCAATGTTGATGTTTTATCTCCACAAATAACACAAGCCTAAAGGAGTTCTGCAATGTTGTGGAATTGCTAATGCTAACGGTTATCTTCTACTACCCGAGAGCCGCTCTACTCTCTCCTGGATGTAAAAATCAATACGGCCTTCCTCCACCACGAGCCAAGATTGAGTTCATGAATGCAAATTTACAGTGTGACATAGATCTATGTGACTTTTACTGACCTGAGCGTTTCCCTATCTTTTTTCTATCGACAGCTAATGCAGAAAATAAGAGGAGAACATTTTCACATTCAGAATGCATGTGACACTTAGAGTGTCTGGTTGTATATAAAAAAATAAGTAAAAAGGGGTTTCTCAGTGGACTTGGTCTTTAAAATCCATCCTATGACTCATTAGACATTTTACTGACAGACAGCAAATGGCAAAAAAACATCTGATGCATCATCATTTAGAAACCACATCTCTTAACATCTCGCACAGGTATATTCCTCCCATGATTGACATTTTGTGTGCATTCACCATCCTCACCAACCTTGTTGCGTTTGAAGTAGGCTCGCCTGCAGGCAGCGAAGCACTTCTCGCTGCAGAAGCTCTTGAGCTCTGAGCCCATACACAGTGAGTATCGTTTGACACCTTCCTTCTGGCACCAAACACAGACTATTTGCACATTCTGTACATCTTCCACTGCAGGAGGGGGAAAAACAGCAGAGGAAAGAATGTAAATAAAAGAGTACAATTTGCAGATGCATTTGCACAGAGGCCAAGTGGCGTGTATCACTCTTGGATTCATTAGATTTATAGAGCATGCAACTGGCATTAAACAGAGAAGCCATGGGTGTTTGAGTGGACTAAGACAATCGAACTTCATCAGGGCTAAAGAGACATGAGTCAGCTGAATAGCTTAAGTGTGTCAAGGAATTGTGGAGCTTTTCCTTGGAGCTGGATGCTCTCCAAACTTTCAGCTCAGTGTATCCTATAGTTAATTAATTGAAAGAGTCTAAGGCTTATATTTTTTCCAGGATGTTCTGAGATCCAGTTTCATCCGTGTTGCACCTTACTGTCGGCTTTATGCAGTTATGCTGCACAGAGGAAGTAAACGCACTGTTTTCAATTAATTTTCCAACGCATTGAAACCGAATAATGAATGATTCTGATCTTGTCAGTTTCATTTCAGGTCTTTCGGGTCTGTGAGAGCTCGGCGCCGTCCCTTCTGAGGCACATCTCTGCACACGAGGCAGTTACAGATCTAACATCACTCAGGAAAACCAAATCCCAATTGTACAAATTTGAAGCTAAATCTAATCTTTATTGTCAGTTAAAACAACAGGAAACTGCACGGAATCAAAATGAAACCATGTGCATGTAATCAAGCTTGTTCAGATTCTCTGACTTGCAGGTTTTCCATTGTTATGGCAACAAAGTTCGCCAACTAATTAATCCCAGACAATCGCACCAGTTACAAATTAAAAGCTACTTATTTTATCTTTCGCTAGACTTTTTAGAATTATTTTACAAAACAGTTCCCGTGAGGGCACAACACTACAGCACCAAGGCACAACAAGCACACGCCATGTAACCGTAGCAGCTTCTTACTTTCTCCAGAGCCTCAATTAAGGCTCGTTTAGGAAGCAGCTGAAACTAAAACCAGTTCCTTCACCTGCTGCCGCTCTTACGCTACCTTCTAAGCAAAAAAAAAAGATCAGTTCTTGTGATGCAATGCTGCAAACCTCTCATAAGAGATGCACCCATACCTGCTGATGGCTTTATGAGCGGAACAATGACAGGGGCACCCTTGGGGGAGGTCAGAGATGAACTTGTAGAGGAAGAAGAGGGTGAAGAAGTCAGGATATTAAAGGATTCTCTCTCTCCGCTCTTCATGGTCAAGACCGAGTGACTGACTTTGGAGTCCAAGCTTTTGGGTTTTGGCAAGGAGTTCTCTGAAAGACACGACCAATGTGCAACGATAACCTGGCTTTGTCACACGATACAGCAACACAAAACCGCGGCATGCCTCACGGGATACTATTCTAACTTCTGCACAAACAACAGATGCATCTGAATGAACGTAACTTGAGGACCTGCCACCGCAGGAGATTATGTCTAGCAGATGTGTGCTGTGACTCAATGTCTGCGTGAAAACCCGCAGAACCTGTTGGTTAGTGTAATAGTGCACTAACAGTGACCTGTCGACACCTGCCCTCACCTTTTAGCACAGACACATGCTGACGCCTCTCTCTGTAGTTCCTGATTTCGTTGGCCTCGGACTCCCGGAGCTCGACCTTGTCGTAGCCGTACCATCCCAGGAGTTCATTCATTGTGCTTTCTGCAAACGTCTGCAGGAGGAAAAAAGAGGAAACAGGAGTGGGAAATTTTGAACAAGCATCTTAAGAGTTATTATTGGACATTTTTATTCTACGGTAAACATCATCAGACCTTCCTATGCTGCATAAAACTGAGGGATTCTTTCTCGGCCTCCGGGAAATGAATAGGGGCACAGTGGAGCACAGTGTGACTCTTTTTTCCATGATGCGTTCGAGTTGTTTACTCTTGCTTAATCTGAGACGGAAAGGTTTAAAACCCAACACCAGTGTGAAATCTATGAATCGTTCTTTGTTTATCATTTTAAATTGGGAGTAGAAAAAAAGAGGGAGAAAAGAAAACGGTTCTGCAAAAGATGGGATGTGTGATCTCACTTGTTAAAAAAAAAATATTACGACCAGATGAAGGAAAAAAAAACACAAAGGTTTCTCTCTTTAACCACCCACCTCTCTGTGGCTTTGGAGGAACTGGATTGGAGGAGAAACCCGATCCGGAATGGGCAGAAATCAGAGCGGGACACCCTACACCACCGCGAGGTCCCACGGTTCTCAGAAATGACCCACTCTTCTTCTCTCCGCTTCCCCTTTTTTCTAATGTCCAACTCTCTTTAATTTTCTCCAGCTTTCTCTCATCTTGCCTCTTTCCTCCCCTCTCCCATCTTCCCTATTCTGCCCCTCCATCACAGCACCTTCCAGGCCTGACACCCAACACAGCGCCTCCTCTCAGGTTTCAGCCTTTTCCAGCACCAGTCTGCTGTGGTGTTGTAGTGCTGCTGCACATTCTTTCCCCTGCTTTCCTCACTCCGACCTCTGCTCTGCACCAGGGCCTCAAAGAAATGGATCTCTCCCTTTGCTTGCTCACTTTCTGCTCTGTGTGTGTGTGTCTGGGAGAGTGCGTGGGTGAGTGGAGAGCAATGGTATCATATCCAGCTAAATATGCCGAACGATGATTAAAGTTAAGTATCCGGTATCTGGTGCTGCACTCGGGTCTGACGTGGAGGGAGTAGGTCCGAATGCGGTGTTGAAACAGATGTATTACAAAGACAACACCGGGACAGACCTCAGCTGAACCAGAAATCAGTTTCCCTCCTTCTGCCTACCTCCAGGAGGACTCCACATGGCAACCTTCCTGTCATAGTTCTGTCTTTTTTTCTCTTACCCACCCCTCCACTTCCCCACAATGTTGTTTTTGTTTCTTTTTGGCAGTTTGGACAAACATCTGCTTTGTGAGAGTGACAAGCCATATCCCAAACCGCGGAGAGAGCTGCAGCCAAAGGCAACAAACTGGGGCCGACCCTGAGATTCAGCTCAGGCAGGCTTACATCAAGCGCTGGATAGTGTTTCACATGTTTTGATTAAAATTAGTTAAGATGTAACATTACACCTCCCCTGGATATCAAACGCTACCCCCCCCCCCCCCCCCCCCCACACACACACACACACCACAAGATGATGTTCTTGTCCTTTTGGATTTCTCTGCTTCAGCTTGAAGTCCTCGAATGTCATCCACCACAGCCAAGCGTCTCAAATAGCCGGTGTCCAAACCCAAACAAAGCACCCGTGGATTAGTTTCCATGCAAAAGGCTCATGATGGTGAGAGGGGAGCGTGTCTGTTACTGAGATTTAACTTGCTGCTGCGTTTCTGTCCTTCAGCACCAGGAACAGATGAAAGATGCTCAACATTTTAAGTCCCTCGGCAGGAGTTTGTCTCCAGTTCAGATTTTTCCCTGCGTAAATCTCACGTAAAAGCATCCCCCAATTTCATCTCATTCTCACTAGCCTCTTTGGTGCAGAGATTGGGCGAACCGCAGGGAGCGCGGAAGAAGTGACGCACATCTGGAGCTCCTCCGGACAGAGCGCGTCCGGCCACAGCTGGCCTGACATGGCGTCACTACACGATAAACTTTCATTTTAAATATAAACACGTGAAATCCAAACATCCTTACTCCACATGTGACCTTTTGGTTTAGATTTCTAATTTATCTTGCAATTTTAAAAGCAGCTTTTTATAAAACATGCGTGCTTAGGGTTTATGCCTAACCCTAACCCTTACACAAAAAGACGCAAAGTGCGCATTCAGGGAAAACCAATAAAGTGTTGTACGTATTGATGAGCGTTGCTTTGCGCACAGCTGACGCGCACCGTGCGTAAAAGTAATTAAAATCCCAGTTGCGCACGGACGCGCTCTCACCTTCATCTCCTGGTTGATTTCCCTCTTCACTGGGTGCGCTGGTTTCCTGCTGCGTTTATTTTCCGGTGGTCTGCCTTTCTCCATCTCTGGCATAGTCCTGGTTTTTGGCTGGATCCGGTCCGGATCGGTGACCAAGCTTTCAGCTGGAGCACTTGTTATTGTTTCTGTTCTTTTGGAGTCACTCAGAGTGAAAAGAGTCACTCTGGGTCACAGCGGCGGTCATACCCGGATGTCTGACTCCCTCATTCAGGGTTTCGAGTACACCTAACCAGCGCGCACTCTCCGCGTTGGAGGCTCCGCCGTTTAACAGTTCAACAGTCTCCACACTCCTCTCCACCACTGGCAGGTTCACGCTGATGCGTAAGACATGCTGTCTTCCTGTTCGAACCTTCAAAATAAAAGCCTCTAATTAATGTAAAAAAAAACCCAACAAAAACGGGAAACTTGAAAAATGTGGGTAAAATGACTAAAGAAGAATATTTGAAACTGATACAACATGACTGGAAGAAGAAGAAGAAAATTGGAAGTCCAGCTTTTTTTTTCAAAATAAACGCTGATTGAAGCTCTTGTTGTGATTTGGTGCTGAATAAATAAATAAACTTAATTGAATTGAATTGGGTTTGGACATTTAATATTTAATTGGTAAATAAGTACAATGGTAAGAAGACTGAGAAAACAAATAACCAACAAAACAGAAATAAACAGTAGAAGAAAAACAAAATATTAGACAGACTTGTCCTTAACAAAACCCACAACCTGAACTTTAGCATGTTTCACATACTTTGAAAACTCACTTTATTCTCTGCAACGGTCTCCTGGTGCTTTTATTGTGAAAGACAAATCCCCGGACTGCCGCCCTCAATTCGTGCGCTCCCTGTGAAGGGAGGGCCCTCTGATTTGATGTAACCCAACACCTGGCGCCCACCCCTCCCAAATCTCTCCAGATACATTTCATAAGGAATGCAAAGACTGTGTTTTATCTGAGGGGACACAGTACAAACACTGTCTGTACTCTCTTGTCTTAAAATAAAGAGATGAAAAGGGCGCTGCGACTCAAATGATACGATGGCACAAGGTTCCGAGCTTTCTCAAATGGCATCTGTTTGATCAGTGAGGCTGAGAGAAGCCTGCGCGTGAACGTGCCGCACTAAAACACCTGAAAGGTCTTGGACTAATTTGGTTTTAGAATGTCTGGGGAAGGGGGGTGGGGTGGGGGGGGGGGTCAACAATTGACAAAGTGTCTCTGTGCGTAAACCTCTTGATGCAAAGCCAGGAAATGTCTGTTTGTGACTTTTACGCATTTAACTCTAAAATGTATTTTACTGGCAGGTAGACAGAGACTCCCTTTTTCCACCCTCCCTGTTTCCAGCCTCTGTCTGCTCCGGTTGGAGAAATCCAGAAACCGCGCTCGTGTAAACAGAAACCCGATCCAGTGCGCACGGCTTGGGTTTCGCCCCCTCGTAGACCCACTGGTGATACCTGATCCGGCCCGGCTTTGGGAACAGGGCTTATCTGATGCCTCACAAAAGGCCCCTCTCTCCTGCTCTCCATAACAGCGCACATCTGGTGCTTCTGCAGGGAGCGCTGTCCCCTCCAGCTTCCCCTGGGGCTGAAGACTGGAAGAAAGAAGGTCTCACTGTTCCTACAGCCAGTTCAAGACCAGAGACGGGCAGGTGTGAAGTTACAGCCCTCAACATCTGGACTGGATTATGAAAATCAGAAAATGTGTGTGGGTTTGATTGAAACGATGAATTTTCTCTAAAAATTTAGAAGATGAAAGTAGATGATTTGGATTGCAAGGATGCTATGTGCTCCAACTAATAGGGGGCGATGTTTTACCTTTTTTCTTCTTCACGGCTTTGAATAAAATCGTGAAAAAGTGAACTCTATGGGTAGTTTTAGAGAGTTAATTCTGAACATTTCCGTCAAAAAATATGTTTTTGTACTTTACTCATGAATTACGAACGAATTGATAATGTTTTAACACATATTCAAAAATGAATAAAATTCATCAGTAAAAACGGATGAAGAAGAAAACTCTTCAATAAACCGAATGACATCATAAAACCATGCGTAAAACTTTACATGTATCCTTAAAATTAACACAAAAACTGGACTTCAATTATATTATTCCATAATTTCATACTACTTTTTATAATTGTACAGAGTTTGCAAATTTCAAGTCAGTGTAGATGCATTTGTCATTTGAAAAGACCTAATAAGATTTTTCAAATTATTAGTCATTTATTTTCCCAAGTGAAAACTCATAGAGATATCAAAGCTCATTTCCAAGAGTGACCCAAGCCAAGAAAAAAAAAAAAACACTACAGAGAATTACGCACGGACACATGTTTCAGATAAGCACGACAGACAAGCACAATAAATATAAAATGTCCAATTTAACAAACAATTGGCCGTAGACAGAGTAATTTTCTGCACATTTGTATAAACATTTAACTTGGAAATTTTGTTTCAACATTCAAATAACTTTCAATTATTAATTATTTTAACAAATGTATATATATATTTAATGAAGACGAATCCCAAAGAGCTAGGTGAAATTAAAAGAGCACACAAAACAAAAATCCAGGCTTAATATAAATCATAAAACAGACACATAAATTATAAAATAGGTAAAAAAAAGTTTTTCCACGTTTATGCATTTATGATTATTTCTTATTTGACACAATAGAAGTCTTTATCATGTTTATGGTCATATTTATTTGTTCGAATTTCAGATTGAATAGTAAATAATCGTATTTCTTCCAATTAGGTGGAAGAGAAACAAACTTTCATTAAAGAGCAAGTCACCACCAAATCACTTTTTTTTTGCTGATAAACTATATAAAGGAGTGTCTAATCATGCTACAGACACGTGTAGTCAATAATTTGGCAGTTCAGTGCATCTTGGTTAAAATTCAAATATTCTGCCTAAAACTGTCAGTGTTGCGCCGTCGTCAGGGAAAATTTCTGCACTGTATTTGAATTTAAATCTGCCATCGCTATTGGCTAAGAGGTATGCTATGATGTCATCTGGTATATTATGATGTCATAATGCCATTGTGAGTTTGTGTGTGTGTGTGTATTTGTTAGCGGCTCCGCCCTCTCGGTCTGCCAAGCAACAGCATTTGTTGCATTTTTCAAACATGAAGTGGGAGTGGAGTAAGTTTATTGTAGGGGGTGACTTGCTCTTTAATGAAACAATAATCAAAATAAAAAACCTCCCTCAGTTAAACCACTAGGTTACTGCGCGTGTGTAGCATCGTGCAGCCACTCAACAAGCAGAAGTGGGCTCTGTAACTTCAATGTTTAATTACATTCATGTAGATTTTATAGCACAGGCTAAATTAACTGTGATTTTTATTTTTATCTGCTGAATTAGTCTCATCCACAAAACATCCTCCAGAATCACCATAGCAACGTGGAGGCAAGACATCATTTAAATTGCGCAACTTTTTTTGTTTTTCACAGTAAATCATTTTAAACAAGCATTTGTGACGTGGAGATCTTAAAAAATCGCCACTGAGCGTGCGCGTTGAAGCCTCCTCACCAAGTTCCAAGCAGAATAGAAAATTCGACGGGTGAGGCCGTACGCCGGTTTGTTTGATCAAAACCGGTTCTGTTTTTTTTTTTTTTTTTTTTGCGGTCGGGTTATTTTTTTTATTTTTTTTTTTATTCTTCATTTAGGATATTGGTTCGTAAACAATACAGTCAATATACATAAGTGACTCAATATCCACTATGAAGTACATGGAAACAGTATAAACATAACAAAAACATACCAACAGATTCAACGCCAGGGGTTACTGCATACAAATTATGAAACATGAGAATGATGATCGAAACAGGAAACAATACGAGACATGCAACAGAGTATGAATTATGGAAAGATTTGAAATTTCGAGCAGAGACTTAGTGTCTTAATGGCTTTGTTATTGTTCGAGGTGGAGATTGTTTTCAAATAAAGCTTAAGCTCTTTTTTCAAGACACAAAAGGAAGGTCTTATCTTTAACACTTTACATTTATGGATGTAAAACTTGGTCAGCAATATGATGAGATTAGATATGAACAGTTCATTTTCCAAATCCCTCTGATAGTCTAGAAATCCAAACAGAACATTATGAAAATGTAATACAAAGGTCTCATGGATATGGTCCAATATAAATCTACAGACGCCTTG